GGAAAGGGAGGAAAGGTAATTGGTTCCAGAAGAGGGACAGTCCTTCCAAACGTGGTCTAGTTGAGAGCTATGGGTTAGGAGTATCAGTAAAAGAAAAAATTACTGGCGGGAATTCATAAGGTATGTGGTAGACACCCTTTAGAATTCCAAAAGTTGCCACACCACAGTTGTCTGTGCTTTTGACCAATCTATGTGCCTGTTACAGGCTGTGCTAATGAGGGGATACCAGATTTCACAGGCTATGTTGGTGAAGGGATGCCAAATTTCATAGGAATACCAGATTTCACAGGCCGTGTTAGTGAGCGGATACCAAATGTCACAGGCAATGTTCAACATGTAGTCCCCTTAAAAAAAAAGGCTTATGAAATCTAGTATACCCTCAAAAGTCATGGGCCATGAAATCTGGTATCCCTTTTTGATCTGGTATCCCCTCCCTAACATGGGCCATTATATTTGGTAACTCCTACCTAACATTTGCCATTGAATTTGGTATCCTCCCCTTTCATTTAAATGGCACCCCAACTTAAACTGACAAAGGATGTGCATACCCAGTAACAATTCCAGGGTGTTTTAGGCACTATTTTTTTGGCAGCGCACTGCAATGTAAAATGCACACTGTAATGTATGTCTCTTTGAAAGGTACACTGGGGGTAACATTAGGAATGCTGCCACTTCACATTGATGCACCTATCGTGAGCTCACATGCTTTGTGGTAATGATCACTGTAATGCATGTAAAGCACATTTACCACCTTACAGGGGGATCCTCCTTCTATAAATTACTGTAGATGCCCACTAGTGCTAGAATTAAACAGTTTGTAAAATTTTTATTAAAAAAAAAAAAAAAAAAAAAAAAAACACAACACACACTGGAGAGTGCAGGCTGCCAAAAAAAGACGATGAAATGATGACCTGAGATGCAGGTTTAAATTAATTGCTAGCTAATCAATATGAATCTTCTGCCCTCAATACTTTCTAAGTATATTGACACACGAGTATTGTGGCGAGTGATGTAAGAAGGTTCCCAATAGGGTAGGGAGGATAAAAAGGTCCCTTTCTCTTACCTGTGCAATATCATGTTCAAGTAGCGAGCAGGCCAACTCATTATATAGTGAAGATGACCTGGCAGACGCAGGGTTAATTAATTGCTAGCTATCATTATGATCTTCTGCCCTCAATACTTTCTAAGTATATTGACACACGAGTATGTGGCGAGTGATGTAAGAGGTCCCAATTGCATACTTACACCACCCTAGATACTCAGTATTGGAAAACCAGCAACCATTACCATGAGGCCAAGCTACTCTTTACTGCAAACTGACATCCATCCCCCAAACTAAATCGGACACCCAAGACTGATGCCTACCCACCCCCCCCCATGCAACTGAGCGAAAAAACTGACACCGGTTTACCCCAACTCCCAAAAAAAATCCCACAATATAGATCTAGGTCAATCACAATGCCCGATGCCTGCTTAAAGGAAAAAAAATGAAACGACCTTAATGCAACAACGCCACTTGCTGAATGACAGCTCCCTGCAATAGTGTTGTCAACAGTATAAAGGAAAGGACGGGTTTAGCTGTTGGGAAAAGTGTCCTTCCAATAAGTCACAACAGAGATCCACATTGGAGCGGAGGGTCCAAAATGACCGGTGACACAGGGATGACATACAGAAGCTATATTGATGGTTTTATAGGAAGCGACTGATAACGGTCATTGCCCAAACATGTGTATAAGTGGTCGCAAACATGGGTTAATATGACCAGGGCCTTATTTGGTCAAAGTTTTGTTCCATATTCAGGCAATGATGCCATCCGCATTGCTTACGTGGCCAGGGATTCCCGGCCCTGTAGGTGAATGGACAGCTACTTCTTTAGCAACTGCTGACAGCAGGAAGCTAAATTCCCTTAACATTCGGCATTCAGACAAACATCTGAACAGCGAAGGTTTTTCAGCTCATCCCTAGTCAGCAGCCTCTGGGCTGCCCATTGCCCAACTAATAAAATTCAAAAACATTAACATATATAAAGCCATTTATAACTCTGCCTCAAATTACATCACCAATCTTGTCTCCAAATATCACCCAAACCGTCTTCTCTGCTCCTCCCATTGACCTCCTGCTCTCTAGTCTCCTCCTCCCATGCACATTTCCAGGACTTCTCCAGAGCCTCCCCCATCCTCTGGAACTCTCTACCCCAATCTATCTAACGCCTACTCTGCCCACTTTTAGGCGATCTCTGAAAACCTATCTCTTCAGGGAAGCCTATCCTGCCTTCAGCTAGCATATCATTTCATCCCCCACAGTTATTACCTTTTCTACCACCAGCACCTCCCTCTTAGATTGTAAGCTCCAAGGAGCAGGGCCCTCCTAACCCTCTTTTATTGAACTGTATCGTTGCTGTATTGTCTTCCTTTATATTGTAAAGCGCTGAGCAAACTATCGGCGCTATATAAATCCTGTATAATAATAATAACACCTTTTACCAGTGTGCGCCACTAAAAATTATTTTACTTCTCTCCTAGATTGTAAGCTCGAAAGAGCAGGGCCCTCGAACCCCTCATGTTTTGCATTGTATTGTTATTGTTCTGTCACATGTTCTGTCCCCCTTTGTAATGTACAGCGCTGAGCGAACTGTTGGCGCTTTATGAATAATGTATAATAATAATAATAGGCACCCCAGTTAAGGCTTGGTTCACACTACTGCATGTCGGGGAATCGTGCAAACTAGCATGCATTCCCACGCACACACGCACACAAAAAAATGCGTTGCTCTTTAGCAAATGCACAAGGATGTGGTTAATTCTTAATGGTACCTCATGCAGTGCGTTTTTGGTGTGGTGTGATTTATAATAAAAAAAAAAAAAAAAATGTTTAGGGACTAGGGTCAGTCCATACCAGAATGCAGAGTGGGAAAGGCAAGCTTTGTGTGCATTTTGAGCACTGCAGATGATTGCAGGTGATTGAGCTTGTGACTTGTATGCAGGTGCCAATGCATTGTTAACAGCACCCCAAACACAGATTGCAAATGCAGTGTGTTTGAAGGCACCAGATTGCATTGTACCACAGTACCATGTGGTTTTTTTTTAAAAGTAGTGCATGCACTCCAGTGTGATTTGCAGCCCGTTCCCCTCTCTGCTAACCTCTGCACCCCAATCCCACTTGCCCACCTTTGGACCCCAATCCCCCTGTTAATCTCTGCACCCCAGAATGCTTCTGCTCACCTCTGCACTGCAGCCCCCCACTCTCTTCTCCCCAAACCCTCCCTTTCTGCTCACCTCCATATCCAAAAACTCCATCTCTGCTCAGCTCTGTACACTAATCCCCCTCTCTGTTCACCTCCACACCCCAAAACCCCCTCTCTTCTTACCTCCACATCTCCCTCTCTGCTCGCCTCTGTACCCCAACCCCCCCTCTGCTCACCTCCACACCCCAAAACCCCCTCTTTTCTCACCTCCACACCCCCAAGCCCTCTCTGCTCACCTCCACACCCACAAAACCCCTCTCTGCTCCCCTCCAAACCCCCCTCTCTGCTCATCTCCACATCCCAAACCCCTCTCTGCTCCCCTCCAAACCCCCCTCTCTGCTCATCTCCACACCCCCAAACCCCCCTCTCTACTCACCTCCACATCCCACTCTCTGCTCAGCTTCACACTCCCCTCTCTGTTCACCTTCAGACCCTAAACCCCTATCTGCTGATCTCCACATCCCCCTCTCTGCTCGGCTTCTTGCTCCCCTCTCTGCTCACCTTCACACCCCAAACCCCTCTATCCTCACCTCCACATCCCCCTCTCTGCTGAACTCCATGCTCCCCTCTCTGCTCAGCTCCTCACCCCAAAATGCCATTAGCACACCTATGTACTCCACTCTCTTTGATAGTGCTGTAAGCTAACCTCCACCCTCCTTTTTGATCCCCTCTGTGCACTGCTTTCCACTCACCAGAGTCTCGGGGCAGAACGTTCTTGTATTCGAATCCACACAGCTGTGGGCGATGCTGGCCGGGTACTGTCCTGTAGGGGAGGAGGAGAGCTTAGGATTCCGAAAGCTGCCTCCCCCTGCCACTGCTTTGCACTGCGCCGACCAAGCTCTTGCTGTTGTGATATTTGGCAGAGTGGGAATTCGATTGGATCTCAAAGCTTTTTCAAGGTCAATGTCACGGCACCCCTGAGGACCTCAGGCGGGCACCCTGGGGTGTCACGTCACCCCAGTTGAGAATTGCTGCTCTAGCACACTAGTGGTAAATAAGAAATATTATTATGCAATAATTCATATTTATTTAACCAAAAAGAAAATGTTAAAATACTGAAAATGTTATTTTTTTTTAGTCATGAAGAAATATATATATTCACAACACACTATACAATGTCTTAAAAATTAACACTTTTCTCAGGAATTTAATGTCAGGCTAAATATCACAATAGCTTTAAAACAAGCCTTGGTACACTTCACATACAGAATCTTGAACTGTTACAGTTTGATATTTGTTTGAGTGCAAAACAAATAGGAATTTAAACAAGACACAAAAATCAACACCCCAAAACATAAGAATAACAGCGACTCTGGTAATAAAAGAAATATAGCAAACATCATCTAAAATACAGTAAATGATAAAAAGTGATTTCCAATGACTTATGTTACCCACTCACATCAAATATACAGAATTGTACACAAAATCATTAGTACTTTTTATGCGTTTAAGTCAACAGATCATCAGCAAACTCACATCTTACAGTATCTACATGAAAAAAAGACTGTTTGGCCCTGCTACCTGCAGCAACAAATTAGGGAATTAGAATAACTAAAAGTTAACTGAAGAATTGTACATAAAATAGTAGGTGTTACTGTACAGAATATATTGCTAGATATTTTAGAATGTTATTCAGGGGAACAGACTTTTTAGGGTTAGGTGATGACTTCACATTAGTAAACAAAAACAGAGATAAAGTGCAGCAGTGGCTCTACCAGGAAACCTGGCAGGACTTATAGTTATACAGAATGATTTGTCAAGAAGACTGCTTTTCTCTGAGATCAGTAATGGCCTTCCAGATTGCACACAAGGTTCCTCCCCTGTAATGAAAAAAAAAAAAAAAAAACATGTTACTTTGTGGAAAATGTACAGTGGATTTTAAGGCATAACTCCATGCCATTGATGACTTCTCACTCTGAAAATGCTAGCTATCAGGCTGACCCTCTGAAGTTAAATAATGCACTGCAGTAACACACATTAATGCACAAGTACAGTGGGGAAAAATAATTATTTTATCTATCACCTGCAAATTTTGTAAGTTTGCCCACTTCCAAAGAAATGAAAGGTCTATCATTTTTTTTCATAGGTGCATTTTAAATGATAAAAGACATAATATCGACCACAAAACCAGAAAAAAACACATGATACAAATGTTATAAAAATTGAGTTGCAGTTCAGTTAGTAAAATAAGTATTTGATCCCCAGGCAAAAACATGACTTAGTACCTGGTGAAGAAACCCTTCTTGGCAAGCACAGGTAAGACATTTCTTGTGGTCGATTTACCAGGTTTGCACACATCTCAGGAGGGATTTTGGTCTTCTTTACAGATCTTCTCTAAATCCTCAGGGTTTCTTGGCGGTTGCTTGGCAACTCAAATGTTTCAGCTCCCTCCATACATTTTCTATAGGATTAAGGTCTGGAGACTGGCTAGGCCACTCTATTACCTTAATGTGCTTCTTCTTGAGCCACTCCTTTGTTGCCTTGGTGGTATGTTTTGGGTCATTGTCATGCAGGAACACCCATCCAGGACCCATGTTCAATCCCCTGGCTGAGGGAAGAAGGTTCTCATCCAGGATTTTACAATACATGGCCCTGCCCATTGACCCCTCAAGGCAGCAAAGTTAGCCTGTACCTTTAGCAGAGAAATAGTCCCAAAGCATAATATTTCCACCTCCATGCTTGACTGTAGGGATGTCTTCTTAGAGTTATAGTCAGCATTTTTCTTCCTCCAAACACGGTGAGTCGCGTTAATGCCAAACAGCTCAATTGTGGTCTCATCTGACCACAGCACTTTCTCCCAGTCCTTCTCTGAATCATTTAGTTGTTCATCGGTAAACTTCAGATGGACCTGTACATGTGCCTTCTTAAGGAGGGGGACCTTGCAGGCGCTGCAGGATTTCAATTCATAGCGAAGTATTGTGTTACCAGTGGTTTGTTTAGTGACTGTGGTCCCAACATCCTTGAAATCATTCACAAGCTCCTCCTGTGTAGTTCTGGGCTGATCCCTCACTTTTCTCATGATCATCCTTACCCCATGAGGCAAAATCTTGCATTGAGCTCCAGACCAAGGGCGACTGATGGTTATTTTGTATTTCTTTAATTTGCGAATAAATGCTCCAATAGTTGTCTCCCTCTCACCAAGCTTCTTGCTAATAGGTTTTTTAGCCCATTTCAGCCTCATGCAGGTCTACAATCTTGTCCCTGACGTCCTTTGACAGCTCCTTGCCCATGATGGTGAGGTTTGAATGGAAGAAAGATTCTGTGGACAGGTGTCTTTTATACACATAAGTTGTCATTAGGAGCACCTTCCTAAATTGACAGGACTAATCTGTGTACCACATGAGCACATAGCCAGTCTGTGAAAGTCAGAATTATTGTTGGTTGGCAGGGGATCAAATACTTATTTTACTCACTGAACTGCAACTCAATTTCTAACATTTGTATCGTGTGTTTTTTACTGGATTTTTTGGTTGATATTCTGTCTCTATCATTTAAGATACAACTATTATAAAAATTAGTGACCCTCCATTTCTCTGTAAGTGGGAAAACTTAAAAAATCTGCAGGGGATCAAATAATTATTTTGCCCACTGTATAGGCAAGCTTGTGGTGTGCACTGCCATTCATTCTAAATAGCTCCCAGAGGCACATGTACACATTAACACATGAAAAAGCATGTAATAATACATTTTATCATTCTGAATAAGACCTAATACTTGGAGCCAGTGATCCAGTTTTCTGCCTTTCCTTATTTGCCTACTTGTTCTGTGTCACTGAATCAGGAAAAATTGAAGCCAGATGGTCACCATAACAATCAGACAGTTAACATTTTTTGCAGAAGGAGGTCAAAAACGCCAGTCCCATGTTAAACTTTGCAAAGGTTTACTTTAAAAACTCATCTGATGTCCACACCTTTTTATCACCTTATAGTTCTTTAACCCAATATTGTATGAATTGTAACAGATTTATGCTTGGAAATGCCTTATAAAATACCCTTTTCTCCAGATACAAATGCTGATTTCTGTCCTCCCACTCCAGTGCCCTGTCCCGATATACTGTAGCTCAGGCATTCTCAACTAGGGTTCTTCCAGAAGTTGTTAGGGATTATTTGAGCAGTAGTGGATAGATCTCTTGCCTAATAGCGTTTGGCAGCAAACACCACTCTGCAGAGGCAGCACAACATGGAACCAGTGGAGCATCTCCTCTGGTTTCTCAGGTAAGTAAACCACTGACACCAATGATCATGTTAGCTGTCTGTAATGTAGGAAGAACTAATGTAAGAAGCATTCTTGACTCTTCCCCCCCTCCCCACAAAGTACAAGGGCAGTACACTGACCACCATTGTAATGTTGTAACATTGTTCTCAGATTATAAACATGGCTACAAATTTGCAGAAAAAACTGTACAAAAACTTAAAGGGGTCGATTTCTAATGTTTTCAAACAAGATTCACACAGTTTTCACCCAGGATTCGCTCATTTTTTCCAATGACACAAAATAATAAAATGTGTAAATCTTGTGTGAACATTGCTTTTGCAGATAAGAAACTCTATCTTCACTAATCAGTAGATACACGCATATACAGTAGAAGTTTATTTAAAATCGTTTTTATTTGTAAAAACATAAAGGTCTATTTATAAATGTTTTTACAAATAAAAACATTTATAAGTAGACCTCTGTATGTGTGTATCTACTGATTAGTGAAGGTAGATTTTCTTATCTGTGTCCGGGATTGTGTCCATGGGCTTTTGTTCACTTCTATGGGATAGCAAAATCAACTTTAAAGGTAAATACACCTGTTAATTAGTTCTGAATGATCTTAAAAGTATCACAGACCGGTGTCAAATTGGAGCCATGAACCAACTATCAGAGGTCCTTACTTCTTGTTGTGGCTCTTAGTCACACACACATTTTAAAGCGGTAGTAAACCGCATACTTGCACATTATGAGAGACTTGCCTAAAAAACGAAGCCTTTCAGCAGAACGCTGTCATGGCTCCCATCTTCACCTAGTCTTCCTTCCACGTTCACAGGCTGTGGCCGTTTGACTGGCCAAGCCGTGATGACATCACTCCTGCACATGCATGTGGAAGTCTCCGTGACAGGGAACAGCTCTCTCAATAGAGAGCACACTATCCATTTAGAGTGCAGTGTGCATGTACCGGTGACATCGCCAGCGCTGCTAAAGTAAACCTCTCTTAAAACGGTGCATGTTTGGGAGATATTTACTGTACCTACAGGTAAGTCTTATTATAGGTTTACCTGTAGGTATAAATAAAGAAACAAACGGGACTTTACTACCACTTTAAAATGATATATTTTTTTCAGCTTAGAAAAGCTATGAAGCCTATACAATTTGGCTTCATTAATCATTGGGGGAGATTTACTAAAACCAGAGCACTCATAATCTGATGCAGCTGTGCATGGTAGCCAGTCAGCTTTAACTTCAGACTGTTTTAACCACTTGCCTACCAGGCACTTATACCCCCTTCCTTACCAGGCCAATTTTCAGCTTTCAGCGCTGCCGCAGCCGCACTTTGATTGACAATTGCGCGGTCATGCAACATTGTACCCATATGAAATTTTGATCATTTTTTTCTCACAAATAGAGCTTTCTTTTGGTGGTATTTAATCGCCACTGGGCACTTTACTTTTTGTGCTATAAATAAAAAAAGTGCAAAAAATTTGAAAAAAAAAAAAAAGTTTATTTGTTTCTTTTATAAAATTTTTCAAACAGGTATTTTTTCTCCTTCACTGATGTGCGTTGATGAGGCAGCACTGATGGGCACTGATAGGTGGCACTGATGGGCACTGATAGGCAGCACTAAAGGGCACAGATAGGCAGTACTAATGAGGTGGCACGGATAGGCGGCACTGATATGCGGCACTGATAGGTGACACTGATTATGGGTACTGATAGACGGCACTGACTGGCATCACTGCTGGGCACTGACTGGCGGCACTGACTGGCACAACCCCTGGGCACTGACTGGTGGCACTGACTGGCAGCACTGCTGGGCTGCACTGGTGGGTGGCACTGGTGGGCGGCACTGGTGGGTGGGCACAGGTGGGTGGCACTGGTGGGTGGCACTGGTGGGTGGCACTGGTGGGCACAGGTGGGTGGGCACTGGTGGGTGGCACTGCTGGGCACATGTAGGTGGCACTTCTGGGCACAGGTAGGTGGCACTGCAGAGTGGCACAGGTGGGTGCACTGCTGGGCACAGGTGGGGGCACTGCTGGGCACGGGTGGGCGGAGCTAGTGGGCGCACTGCTGGGCGGAACTTGCGGGTGTCACTGCTGGGCACCGATCATCAGGGCACTGATCATCAGTGCCCTGATGATCGGTGCTGATCCCCGCTCTGACAACTGCCGGTTCTCGGCAGTACTTTCCTCACGATCTGACAGCGTGAGGAAAGTGCAGCCGAGAACCGGCACTTGCATTTCCCTGTGATCAGCGTGTCATTGGACACCGCTGATCACGTGGTAAAAGGCCGCTGTGATTGGCCTTTTACCACATCACGTGATCAGCTGTGTCCATAGGACACAGTGATCACGGAGATCGCCGGGTGGCGCGCCCCCTGGGGCGCGCAGGAGAGAGCGCGTTCTGGGAGGACGTCATATGACGTCCACCCAGAACTGGCCGGCCGCGGTTAAGCCGTCATTCGACTATGCGCGGTCGGCAAGAGGTTAATTAAGCTCTGACAATAAAACCTGAAAGCTGATTGGTTTCTATGCAAAGCTGTACCAGATTTTGCACACTCCAGTTTTCATAAAGCTCCCCCATTGTCTACTTATCCAGAGTACAAAAACAAGCAAAAACAGGGAAAACAAGTCTTCTCTTTTTAATCCTTTATGAAAAGAAATATAATCCAAACTGGCTTACATCACCTGGAGATACTGGAACCACGATATACTTCTATAAGGTTCTATGATACTATTTGTAAATAGGCACTAATGTTGGTAACCTACCTGAGATCCATAGACTTTAAGTCATCTCTTGTAACATGCCACTGGATATCCTCCAAACCGATAATCTTCTGCCAAAAACTAAAGCAAATTGGAAAGTATGAGTAGCATACTGTTATAGGAAAGCATTACAAAATAATAAAGCATAATACAGTATGAATTCAGAAGATTAGATGATCTCAAATAATTGCTAGATTTTTCATACTACTCTTTTATAATGCTGCAATCTTTAAAATAAATATGCTAAGCTACATATTTCCAATACAAGTCCAGCAAATCATCAACTTTTAATACTATCAAGGGTGGTGCAGAATGGGAAAGAGCATTATCCAGGTGCACAACACAAAGTAAATGGTATTAACACCCTGACACTTACAATGATGATCTATTTAGTATAATTCTAATGTAGAAACAGTGGTTGCATAGATTTGCAAATATGTGTACGTATTTTGTGAGTTAAAGCTGCACTCCAAAATTAAAAAAAAAAACCCTTGCAGTGTGAAGCCCTCACACTGCAAAAGTCTAATGGTCATTTAGCCTAGGAGTAGAGGAATCGGCTATATTTATATAGTATTGCTATATTAATAATGAATCATTTATTTACTTACACATTTATTAGATTACTAGTGCTGATCAGAGCGCCTCACTGTGTCCATTTCTTAGTATTGCTGCTATTTTCTATTGCTGCTTCATTTTTTGCATCATTATCTATTTATTTATATGCATGTCTTATTTGATTTTTATTTAGACTATTTTAGCGCTGCACCTTTTTTATTTTCATATCCTATTTGTATCACTATCTTGAAGTATTGATGTTCATGTAAATAATCTACTTTCCAGGCAGGGCGGCTTCTACACTCCAGAAGACCGCCATGGTCTCCTTGGCTTGTAGTATAGGCCTGTAATGGCAGTCCCCGAGTTACAAACTTATGACTTACATACGACTCGTACTTAAGAACAGAGGCAGCGTGACACCACACCAGTCCCAGAAACCGCTTGGTGGCCATCTTACTGCTCACTGCATGCTGCCACCTACTGTCTAGATCAGTGGTGGGCAACCTTTTTTTTCAACTGAGCCAAATCTCGCCAAAACCATGATTGAAATTTATTTTGAGAGCCACATTTTTAAAACTGAAAATACATCTCCCATATAGTAATTCATCCCCCATAGTAATTCATCCCCCCATATAGTAATTCATCCCCCTAGTGTAATTCATCCCCCATAGTGTAATTCATCCCCCATAGTAATTCATCCCCCATAGTAATTCATCCCCCATATAGTAATTCATCCCCATATAGTAATTCATCCTCCATATAGTAATTCATCCCCCATAGTAATTCATCCCCCATATAGTAATTCATCCCCCATAGCAATTCATCCCCCGTATAGTATTTCATCCCTCGTATAGTATTTCATCCCCCGTATAGTATTTCATCCCCCGTATAGTATTTCATCCCCGTATAGTATTTCATCCCCCGTATAGTATTTCATCCCTCATATAGTATTTCATCCCCCATATAGTAATTTCATCCCTCATATAGTATTTCATCCCTCATATAGTATTTCCATCCCCCCATATAGTATTTCATCCCTCATATAGTATTTCATCCCCCATATAGTATTTCATCCCTCATATAGTATTTCATCCCCCCATATAGTATTTCATCCCTCATATAGTATTTCATCCCTCATATAGTAATTCATCCCTCATATAGTATTTCATCCCCCCATATAGTAATTCATCCCTCATATAGTATTTCATCCCCCCATATAGTATTTCATCCCCCCATATAGTATTTCATCCCTCCATATAGTAATTCATCCCTCATATAGTATTTCATCCCCCCATATAGTATTTCATCCCCCCATATAGTATTTCATCCCCCCATATAGTATTTCATCTCTCATATAGTAATTCATCCCTCATATAGTATTTCATCCCTCATATAGTATTTCATCTCTCATATAGTAATTCATCCCTCATATAGTATTTCATCCCTCATATAGTATTTCATCCCCCATATAGTATTTCATCCCCCCATATAGTATTTCATCCCCTCATATAGTATTTCATCCCCTCATATAGTATTTCATCCCTCATATAGTATTTCATCCCCCCATATAGTATTTCATCCCTCATACAGTAATTCATCCCTCATATAGTAATTCATCCCCCATATAGTATTTCATCCCTCATATAGTATTTCATCCCCCCATATAGTATTTCATCCCTCATATAGTAATTCATCCCCCCATATAGTATTTCATCCCCCCATATTTCAGTATTTCATCCCCCCATATAGTATTCATCCCTCATATAGTAATTCATCCCTGATATAGTAATTCATCCCCCATATAGTATTTCATCCCCCCATATAGTATTTCATCCCTCATAAAGTAATTCATCCCTCATATAGTATTTCATCCCCCACAGTACTATTCCCCCCCCCCCTTCTAGTAAGCCAAGTCCCCCGTGTCAATTCACTTACCTTTTGCGTTCCTCTCGCTGTCTTCCCGCGCCGTTCGGGTCTTCAGGGCGGACTGTGAGAGGAGCCTAGCTCCCTCCCCTCACGTTCGGCACGCTGCCCCGCCTACACACATCCTGACAGCCACATCCGCAAGCCGGATTAAAAGGTCCCGCGCGGACTTTTGGGGCTGCCAACCGAGAGGAGGCAGGGGAGCGGCCGACCGAGAGGAGGGAGGGGAGCAGGCGCCCGGCACACAGAAGAGCCGCATTTAGACTGGGTAAAGAGCCGCATGTGGCTCGCGAGCCGCGGCTTGCCGACCACTGGTCTAGATGACCTGCCAGCAATCCCTCATCACTGGCCAGTTAACCTTTCCCTATGCTATCCAAAATGTAAAAATATTTTTTTTTGGCTTGAGTTACCGGTTCCAACTTACATACAAATTCAACTTAAGGACAAAGCTGCAGAAACTATCTTGTTCATAACCCAGGGACTGCCTGTACTTGTAATCACACTGGAAGAAAGAACACTAAAGGTCCAGAAAACTTCTAATACGGTCACTTTCTTTTAATCAAGCCGTGCTGAAAAGGGGCATTTTGGACCCTCAAAACATGTTGGCCACTCTTTGGATTGTCCCTGACCTTTTTTTGGAATAAAGCTGTATCTTAACCTCTTTAGCATTGGTGTGGAACTTCAGACTCCATTTTTGTTATACTACTAAGTATCACGTAACCAGGAAGATTAACCGCTTGCCTGCCACCCTATAGCAGATGTACTGCTACAGGGCAGCACAGCTGCGCACAATCACGTGTGTGTATATATATATATATATATATATATATATATATATATATATTTATATATATATATACACATACACACTTGTGATTTGCATTTCTGGGTAGGGGGCGCTTGCTATTGTCTGCCGGGGATGTCAATCACCTGGCCAGGACTCGGTGATCATCGGCAAAGCTGACAGGGGAGAGACCTGTGTATAAACAACACAGGTCTCTCTACTGTCAGCATGGACATACTGCTTTGTAACTCTCTGCACAGCAAAGAGAGAGATACAAAGCAGCATGTCTCCCAAGTAAAGCAGCACACAGCACACAATGTAAAGCACACACAGCGCAGTGTTAACCCTTTGATCGCCCCAGATGTGAACCCCTTCCTGCCCAGTGTCATTAGTACAGTGTCAATGCTTTTTATTAGTACTGATCACTGTATTAGTGTCACTGGGGATGTCAGTGGTAGTTAGTCAGTTCCCCCCCCAGTGTCAGAATGCCCACCACAGTTCCGCTATAAGTCACTGATCGCTGCCATTACTAGTATAAAATAAATAAATAAAAATTACAGTATATATGCAGCCAATTGCAGACGCTATAACTTTCACGTAAACCCATTAATTTACACTTTTTGGGATTTTTTTTAGCACAGAAATGTAGCAGAATACATTTTGGCCTAAATTTATGAAGAAATTGTATTTTTTAAATTTTTTTATTGGACATGTTTTATAGCAAAAAGTCAAAAATGTTGGTTTTTTTTTTTAGGCATTTTTAATACCTTGTTTATTGTTTCCTCATCCACATGATGCTGCTGCAACCAGTAAATAAGTTCAAGATCTTCATTACTTGTATTAGATGGTCTTGTGTGGGAAACTGAAATCCCAGGAATATCTAAACAAAAATATATATTAAAAAAATCGTGATCAAGAATAGTTTTATGAAATAATTATATTAAGATCATACATTTATGTGCGTCCTAAACAATATAAAGAAAGCAGGGCACAGTGTAATTTATGTGCAAACACTCTGTTGGAAAAGATATGACATAATCCACTACTAGAATTGAATAAAGTGTATGTAACCCCAAAAATATTTTCTCATTAATGTGTCTATTTTGTTATTTTAAGTATATTTCTACAACACATTACATATACCTGATGAGCCTTCCAGCTCCCTTCTGTCCTTTTCATTCTGTCCACACCAAGTACATATTGCATCTCCCTTTCTTTATAGACATACAAGGCACTGTGTCAACACACATCATACCTGTATCTCCTGTAATCAATTTGGTTGCCATGCCCCACCTGGACAGCACTGCTGTTTTGATTGACAGCAGCTCCCAGCTGTAGCCTTGCTGTCAAAACAGCAGCTGCAAATTGCATCATCCTTGTGAAACACAGTGTACACAGACAGGCAATGTTCCTCCTTGCTGTGTATCATATCATAAAATGCCCACCTCTTTGGTAAACAGACCCCCCCCCCCCCCAACCTCCCAGTATACAGAAAAGGGACCAAATGGAAGGCTGTGCAGTCACATGACCACCATTTAAAACTCAAAAAAGTACTAAACATTTACATTTTATAAAAAAAGACAATGCAGTTAATATTTCATGTAAGACCATGGTGCCATGAGTTCTGAAAGACCAATTTGGGGTATAAAAAAGGTAGTCCATTTAAGAGTACCTATACTGAGAAAATAAGTGAAATGGGAAATCATTTAACATTGGATAAAAAAGGTCTGTAACCCTCAAATAAAACTCGTGGAGTTTTGTTTGATACATTACAGATCTTAATAACAGTGTTCTGTCATCTTGGATAAAACCCAAGCCACGTCCCCAGATATATATTTTTTTTATATATATTTTATATGTATATATATATATATATATAGTACATTGTTTGGTACCACCTCTTGCATGATACACAACATTTATAATAGTAAAACATTTTAAGAGATCTAAGTAACCTTTTACTTACTTATTGGCTGGGATCTGTGCTGAAGACGTCTGATCTCTTGATCTTTCTCTTCAATAGCCTGTCGAAGAAGAGCCTGAAAATCTTTTTCCTTCTGTAACAGTTCCTCTAGAAGCCTAAACAGCAGAGAAATATATGCAGCAGTTAAAAGGCTATGCTTTGTTTTCAATTTCTCACCATTGATTTTACAGAATAGGTTCACCTTTGGGAACATATTCCAGCCATTTTTAGGGTGGAATATGTAACATGTTCTCACTGCTGCAGCCACTGCCCGATTTCCCCCCAACCCCCATGACAACAGTATGGGGAGAAATTCCCCATTCAAGCTGTCATTTTTTAAAACAGTGCTGTAGTGTGAGGCTCCGCTCACATGGTTGTGTCATTCATTCACAGAGTTCTTAGTGGCTGTCAGCTTGTGGTTCTCAATGAATTACCACGGCGCTGTAATAGTTCATTGATTTTACCTGTCAGTATATCTGCTTGCCCATACATCCCATACAGACAAGGAAGGTATACTGACAGGTTTGCAGGAGACCTGGATAGCACCAGCAATCTGCTGACCACTGGTGAAATGTTTACAGGCTCCTGCAACAAAAAATAATGAATGCACCTTTTTTTTATCTGCAGAAAAATGTGCATTTATTATTTTTGGTCAAAAGGTGAACTTATTGTTTTAAGGAGGAAACCCATTTTCGCTGTGAGGGTGGTCCAATGTTCAGTAAGGCAGGTGCGAAGAACAGTTGCTATGTGCAAAGTATATAATATCAACCCCCTTGTACTACCTTACTAAATGCAGCTATGGTCTAAATAGAGAGAGGGAGTCATTCTGGTGCCCCAATATTATAGACTGAGCTTTTTTGGAAAGTAGAGTTGATATATTACTTATTTATTTAAAAGAAAACTTCTGTTCGCTTATTGGTCTTTTTTTTTTACATTGAGCTGACATACATATTTATCCACCAACCAAGAACTTTACTTACCTGTTTGACTCAATTTTTAGTCTTCCCAGTTGCATGTTGAGTGATCTCTGCGCATTCTGAGAGTCATGAGACACGGTGGAGCTGAGGGTGCTCACACCTGATGTATGTACATTGTCCTCATTCACTGCACTAGGGACTTGGCTGGGCTCTTGTGTGGTGTGTTCGTTGTGATCCTCCTCAACCTCTATGTCATCTTGGTCTGCTGGGTCACTTTCAGAGGTAATGCTGAAATGTGGCCTCAGTTCTGTGGATTTAAAATTATAGTTCGGATCATTTTCAGGATGGCATACACATTGATAGACTTTGAATATTTCACTGCTACATATTACCAGCTGTATGATTTCTATTCAGTAATTTTTCATATTTTGGCCATCTAAAGCTAGTACTCTAGCCAAAAATAACAACATAAAGATAAGTAGTCAATTAACAGATAAAACAACAAAACTATCTTTTGCTTCAATATTGGTCTTAAATCTATAGATTTCTACTTCAGTACTTTTATATATGTCCTCAGTCTGATTACCAGCATGATTCAACCCACTTTTTCCAAATATAGGTTGCTCTGGACACACCTCAGCCTGTGATTGGACAATTAAAAGGAGAAAGAGTAGAGTGAAGAGCCCATCTCTGTCACACTGCTTTCTCCTGCTCTCAGCATGCTTCTTCTCTGCACATGAACTCTTTGGGATTTTAAAAGCTGGATTGATACCTCTCTGGATCGAAGGCAGGTAAGTATGAAATTAGTAAAGGAGCTGGAGTCCTCTTTACCACTAACTACGTTTACATACAAATTCCTGTCTTATAAGCTACAGTGATCACAAAAACTGGGTAAAGCCCACCTGTTAGTGCCTCAGAGATCCAACACCTGTTCTCAGCTCTAGCAGTAGAACACATGCTATGCATGAATTTTACCCTTTCAGAGTGACCACATTCAACGTCAGAGCTGTATTCAGATGATGAAGCCCGGAGATGCTAACGCAGATTTTTTTTTTTTTTTGGAGGGAAAGGGGGAAAGTATGCAAAGTCATAAAATAAGATCCCATCTCCTGGGAGAAGGCTTAACACATAGCATTCTGCAGTGGTTTATGTGGATTGTATTTTGCATATAAACAACCTCAAGGAATCCTTGGGGGCTAAAGAGGAAAACATCAGAGTAGCTATCCACCACTGAAAGATCAAAGGGCAAGCTGTGCGACAAAATGTGGTGCCCAACTCCCTGCCCTTTTCACCAACTCGTGACAAAAGACTGGCCAATCTCACACCGCGCTGTCACTTACGTAACAATGCCACTCTTAGCTGCACCCTGCACAAAGATTTTCCAGCTCACGGCACCAAGATCTAGGTGCCAGCAGCCTGACAGTGATTGTCACTGGGTAAGGTTACCTAAGCAATAAACCCTTTTAACCTTCTAACCTGCCACCAGATAGCTTTGGGCCCATCACCCCTTCAGAATATTAGCAAGAACAAGTACGAAAAATAAACGTCTGTACACACACTGTCACCACAGACAGGTATATTCAGAGATTTATCATATACAGCAGCACTCTTCAAGAGACAGGAATTCTTTTAGTTTGCATTAGCGCATTTAGAGACAATTAGAGAACACTTTTCAAAATTTGGTTTAATAATGAACAGGTCAAAATGTTGCAAATAAAATATTTATCAAAACAAAGATATTACAAAGTAACAAGTTACAGAGAACAAGCAACAGCAAGACAAAGAAGTGAAAAAAGGTAAATACTTTGTTTTAGCAGAGTTCAATCAAAAGTGAGCAAGGTGTTATCGGCTCTCATAACTTGACAGATGTTCCTTGGATGATGGTACATGAGAGCTGACAACTTTTGGATCAGTCTCTTTTTCTCTGGTATCATGGGGTACTGTCAGAAACTATCTGACCAATTAGGTGGTTGAGGAATGGCCATGGGGGTGTATCGGGGCCAGCGCCGTGGATAAGGGAGTACCACCAGTTCTCCTGTACAGGGCCCAGGCAGCTGGGTGAAGTGGATGTGGGCAGGGAGAGTGATCAGCATGTCGGCGGGGGGGGGGGGGGGGGGGGCAATTACTGGAATCATTCCCCTGATTGGCTTTCTGTCGCAGCTAAAAGCTGGATTCTTCTCCTCTCCCTCAGCTGACTTTCAGCTGCTGCATAGAGTGGGATCGTTTCCAGTAATTCCCTCCCCACCACACCCATCACCCTCCCTGTGCACCATACATTTCTTCCTTCTGCCCAGGCCACCCTACGTGCCCCCACCCTTTAAGTGCTACTGGCTTCCCTCCTCCCCTTCCCACTGACAGCTGCAAGCACACAATAAGATCCTTCAGGATGGAGAGTGGGGTAGGGTCCAGTAACATGTCATATTTTCCAGCCCCATTCTTTCCTGAATGAACACAGTGCATGATTGGTAATGATCACTCACTGTGTTCATTCACAACTGAGGCATAGTAAACTTTGTTTTCTTTGGGGGCCCTGTCAGGTTGGCTGTATGGGGGACCCGTGGTTTCTAACATCAGCCCTGATCATGGCTCTCCCTTACACACAGTTTTATACTAATAATAATATCTTCCACTATGTACATGCTGCATGCTGTAAACAGGTAGATAATTGTTTGGCATTATATTTTGTGATACCAAACACAGAGTATTTCGAATGGGCCTGTCACCCAGGAGCTATCTGACTGCCCCTCCCCTTCTGTATGCTCTAGCTTAGCCATGTACTGTATGAGTACAATTTTTTTGGTATGATATTCCACATTCAAATATATACTTAATATTGGTGTGTCTTCAGCCTGATTGATTTTATGAATTCTGTGTGTAGTTTTGAAATATTGAGTTGGGCACGGCAGGGGGTCTCCAAAGGTCAATGCAAATCTGACTGCTTTACGATCCCCATTTTTTGGCACTCTATGTGTTCCTAGTGCTTTAATTGCCCTATAAACTATGGTGACTGAACTGAAAGATTTTGTCAACGTTTTACGATAGGTCGGAGGGAAGTGTTAATCTGAAGATTTTGTATGGTCAGCAGAAACTAACAGACATCCCTCCAGGACTTCAATTAGCTCTTTACAGCTCTGGCAAAGGCCTGGGTGCTGGTGTCTGCTGACCCTAAGTTGAGATAACCGGCTCTTTTGAAGTGTGTTAAAAGTTAAGGCTATGAATTCCATGAATTGAAGGAGGAGAGAGGGGGTAAGATCACTGGGCTATGCCTATTCTCATGACAAAAATGTCTGAGACCTGAACAAAATGGATGCAGCTTTTATGTGCCTAATGCCACGAGCAATACAAGCTGTAGCCTGATATTGACCTATGTCAATGTACTTGCTCACAGTGTAACAGCACTATTTGCTGGAGTATATCAGCCATCATGGAATCCTATGAGAAATGTGGATAAGAGGAAAGGAACACTCCAGGAGTGTTAGGTATGCCGAAAAGGATTGGTCTTTAGTATGGCTATGCAATGATGTATTCAGTTCTTGTTGCCCTAGGCAAAACTAAAATTGAGCATCGCCCAGTACCACCAGCAGCCCCCCCAGGCCCCCGTTAATGCTAAAATTGGGCACCCACCACCACCACATCAACAACCCCCAGCCCCCACTACTCTGTGCTAACCACCGCCAAATATGCCGCCCCCTTGAAAATTGCTGCCCTGGGCAAACGCCTTGTTTGCCTCGCAGGGAATATGCTGCTGTGTCTGTGTATGATACTATTCTGTAACATCATTTAGTTCTTGTATTTGTTAGCGACTTTCTTTTCTTTGTAGCTAAATAAAACATTTGCTTATCTTAACACTTGTATAATTATCATCGTTACTATTATAACTATTAAAGAAGAAGTACAGCCAAAGCTCGTTCGCCTGTACTTCTCCTGTGGATCACAGTAGTGCAAAAAGAAGAGGCTAAAGTCCGCTGTCAGCTGATGTCGCTCCAGGCTCGGGAAAGATCCGAACGGATGTCTGGACCGACACTTGGCTCAGCAACCTGCTGGTAGCCTGAGCCAGGCAATCCCTCCACAGGCCAGTGCAGGGGGAATCAGAGCAGAGAGAGTGGTGACTGACAGTCATGGAGCAATGAGAACTGTGCGATCAGTGGTCCTTGATTGCTCTGTTCTCAGTCTTTGAGCCAGCGGGGACAGATGCAGCATGGGACCGATGCTGCATCCACCTAAGTGAGTATGGTTTCTAAAAAGAAAAAAAAACCCTCAACTTCTCTTTTAGTATTATCAGAGTTCTTGCCTATTAGGCTAATTCAGCAACAGACAAAACAGAATATATGTATTTCAGCAGGGTAGAGGTAGGTTACTGCTTAACCACACTGGAAAAGCCTAGCTTTCTTGTATGACAGGGTGCCTGATCACACGTTTGAACAGAATTACAATTCTTTTGGCAGGTAAAATAATTTACATTTATTGTGCATTTAGATTTTTTCCTCGAGTTCAGCTGTGATACACTATTTCTTTCAAAGAATGTAATACCAATGTTTGATGCATGAGACCCCTCATGGAAAAAGTAATTGTAAATGCTTGATTTTTAAAATTTTACTAAAATAACAAACATTGTCATACTTGCTGACCCCCATTCTCCTCTTCTCAGGTCCCCCGCTGGCGCTCCGCGACCCCCCCCCCCCCTATATCAAGTGCCGCTTGCTTTGGGAGCACTTGTGCATGCTCGCTCCCAAACTCTGCTCTCTGTGCCCACTGACAAACAAAGCGTGGTTGGAATGAGATCGGGCTGAGATCGGGCTCAGGTTTTTGTGCCTTAGTATAAAAAAAAAAAACCTTCTGCCAACCACTAATGGATATGTTGTGAAGCAAGCTGCTAGTGTGTGTGCCTGCCTCTAGCCATGGTGATTTTATGCTGGAGAATATATAGAAGGAGTTAAGCAGCACTTAAGACAGGTGAATGAAAAAAGTACTATCCAATTTACTATAGTAATGAACTCTAATCACATATGAGATTATAAAGTCAACAGACAATTGTTGTTTGACTTACCTGGAACTAATGTAGTAATGGCTGTTTGCACAGCCTTACGAATTATGCTGTCTAGAGCAAACATCCAGTGGGGCTTGATATTGTGGTTTCGGAGTACTGTATTCACCTGGTTAAACAGAAAACAATCTCTAAGCCTAAGCTTCACATTTATGTAAGATTGCAAATATTTGTGCAGCAATTGTTCTACTGTGCAAAAGTGAAGATTATGCTCTTCTAACCAAAGTACATCTGATACTGATCTTTTGCAGAATTGTGAGCAATTATGAATATTTGAACAAATGAAAAGAAGGCAATTTCTAATGTGTAATTTAGAAAAATGACTGCTTGCTTTAGGAAAATTTGAATCTCTGTTTTGCATCAGTACTCATAAATGTATCCTTGTAGTAAGTTTCTTTAAATAAATGAACACAAAGAACTCTTTGACATGCTGACATGAGTAAGTGCCTCACTCATCTAATCATGAGATGTGATTATAACATGAAAGTTAAGGTCTGATAAAACATTTATGGGAAACTTTAACCTCTTCCCAGTATATTAGGTTCCAGTGGTGTGATGCCAGGGCTAGGGGTTTTTAGAGGAGAACCTGAAGCACACAATCCCACCAAAAAGCTAATATGCAGCATGTGAGTCAGGGAATGAAAGCTCCCACTTAGAACTTTGAACAAAAGTTTCTTGCTTTAATAAAATCTCTTTTAGTGGTATCGACAAAGATGTATCTATTATGTGCCATTAAACATAAAGTCCATTCTTTTGAATAATCTTTCTTTTACTTACCGCATCTTGAAAACCAAACAAAGCCACTTGGATCTGGCTGATGGCATGACTGTCAAAGTCCAGCTCAAGTTTAAGTTTTGACAGGGTTGAAGCAATGATTTTACGGTCAGTTGATCTTATGAATTCTCGTAGACTGATCACCAGAGTTGTTATATGGTCCCATTTTAATTTTAGTTGCATCTGCACCCTATTAAAAACATACCATATTTCATTGATATGAATTACTAATACATGCTCCTTGCAAATGGTAAATACTAACACAACATAGCTGCACATTTCTTAGTAATATATAAAGATAAGACTAAATATGTATCAAAATTAATGTGGATTACTTGCAAATTAACGTTACTTCACAGGCAAATTTGGGTGATCAGTTTGGTAATGATTTGCCTTACTTGGTAAATGGTATACTGTAAACTTCTATTGACTCATATGAACATGACTTATAAAAAAAACTTTCCTATATAGGTAACATGCTAAGTCAAATAATAGCCTCTAGTCAGATTTCATAATGACACCTCCTACTGTTTTTTTCATAATAAAATTGTAATGGACGGTATGTAGCCCTTGTCCCTAGTGTATGTATTCCTCTAAGAATGGATCCTACGGAGTGGACTATCCTTCTCAGGATATGTAAAGAAGGTGTAACTGTCTAATTTTTGTATGATTTCTCTAAATGATGGCAGCTGAAGAACTACAGGAAATACCAAAAAAACAGGAAACAGCATAATCAATAACAGGGGTTGATCAAGCCTGACAGATAGAACTGCCTGAAATCGTCATCACAGTATTAAACATGATATAAAAGAGGATAACGCAATGTTAGCAAAGTGTTAGCCCAAAGGGGACTTTATACTTAGTCCAGTGGTAGTCAACTTTCTTGATATGGTGGGCCCCAAGTGTGGACCTCGACATCACCAAAGGGCCACACATAAAATTCAGCTAATATTATTCAGTGTCAGAGACAGCAGAGGGATGGTCAGGGACTGTGGACATGTTGCAAGAGTCTGTCAGACACTGTGAACATGCTATAGGAGTTGTTGGAGTTTGGAGACATGCTTCAGGAGACAGTCGTTGACTGCAGAAATATTACATGAGACTGTTAGATATCACTAGATATCATTAGGGCAATAACGAAACACAAATTGGTGTCTGCAAGGGCTCCGATGGCCAAACTAAAAATGCTAAGGGGCTGCATGAGATCCCTGGGCCTCAGGTTGAGCACACTGAGCAGTATTTAAAGAGAAATATGACTTTTTGTAGTCATACTTCTCCTGTGGGTCACAGGAGTACATTTACTTTTACTCCCCTGTGACCAAGAATCAGCTGATAGCGGGCTATTGCTCACTATCAGCCAATGTGGCAGAGCTACTCCAGGCTCTAGCAGGATCCCAACAATATTACTGGGATCCAACCAGCAGCCTCAGATGCAGTGCAGTTCCACTATAATGAACAAGAAAGAAATACAGATATAAGAATGTGAAATACAAAAGGAATAGCATATACTGAGTTATGAGAACACAATATTTCTTTTGTGATAACAAGCCTTTAACCGCCTCCCGCCCGCCATATAAGGAAATGACGGGAGGACATCATATGACGTCCTCCCACTCTAGCTGCGCATTCACGCCTCTGGGGACGTGTGGTGCGGCGATCGGTGGTGGTGTCCCTGGGACAGAGCGGATCACCGATCGCACTAAAGAGCTGATGACACAGGCTCTATCATGTGATCAGCTGTGTTCAATCACAGCTGATCGCATGTAAATAGGAAATGCCGGGTATTGGCAGTCCTCTCCTCATGCTGACAGCACGTGAGGAGAGGAGAGCCGGTAAGCGGCATTCCTCAGAGGGGATATCTACACTGACATCAGGGCACTGATCATCGGTGTAGCCCCATCAGTGCCACCTGTCAGTGCCCATAATTGCCACCTGTCAATGCCCATCAATGCCACATGCCACATACCATAGTGCACATCAATGCCACATATCAGTGCCCATTAGAGCTACCTTTCAGTGTTGCCTGTCAATGCCCACCAGTGATGCCTGTTAATTTCCATCAGTGCCTCCTCATCAGTGCTGCCTATCAGTGCCCATCACTACAGCCTCATTAGTGCGCATCAGTGAAGGAAAAAAATTACTTATTTAGAAAATTTCCGATAGACTAAGAAAAAACTTTTTTTCAAACATTTCAGTATTTTTTAGTTTGTTTAGCAAAAAAATAAAAAAAAAGTGGTGATTAAATACCACCAAAAGAAAGCTCTGTCTCAAAAAAATGATAAAAATTTTGTTTGTGTACAGTGTTGCATGACCGTGCAATTGTCATTCAAAAAGCGACAGTGCTGAAAGCTGAAAATTGGCCTTGATAGGAAGGGGGTAAAAGTGGTAGGCAAGTGGTTAAAGTGGTTATAAACCTCTGAAATGAAAAATGAACAAAACACATCCCTCTATAGTGTGTACATGCCTCAATCCAATGCACTTAGCATGATTTCTGTCTGGCCTGTCACTCTTGTTTTTGTGCATAACTCACTTCTGACAGGTCATGCTGACACCACAGAATATTGGACACAATCTCACCACCCTCCAGCACACAGAAAATGATTGACAAACTCAGTTGTACAAGCTTCCCTATAAGACTGAGGAAGGTGTGTCCTTTCCCTCCACTCAGGTCTCATATTGCACTGTCCCTACTGTATGCGGTGCAGTTTATGACATCAGATACCTGCCTTCTGCCTTTTAGAGCTGAGAAAAAGCCTTTGATGTGTATGTTTTCAAAAGCTGTAGAGAAGACAGGGCTGCAGATAAACAGGTACAGCTTATGTAGGAGGAATTTAGGCAATTAGCTGTTGTATTGATTTTACACACGGCAGAAGGGCCCCCACTGCCTTTTGCCGCCTTCTGAAGCTGGCAGTTCCGCCAGCTGACCATAGAGATGATCGAAGACCGAAACATCCCAATTATCTCTACAGTCTAAGACACCAGAAGCAATGAGTATTTTGTCACCTCTGATTTCAACTCTAAGGTAAAAAGACCGATACTGGCCTGTGAAAGCATCAGACCAAACCGATCTGGGTTTGATTTGATGTTGTTAAAGGCAGAGGAGAGATATGGGATCTAACAGACCCCAGATCTCTGCATAAAGAGCGTCTGTCACTGCTCCAGCTATCACAAGGGACTTTGTTCATTCCTTGTGATAGTCATAAAATTCATAAAAATAGAAACAATGTAAGTATAAAAATAAATAAATAAAAATTTAAAGTGGCCCTGTCCCCTTGTGTTCGCATGCAAAGCTGAATGCATACTTAGTTTGCACATGAATATGTAAACGGTGTTTGCACCACACATGTGAGGTATCACTGACAACATTACAGTGAGAGCTATAATTCTACCACCATACCTCCTGTGTAACTCTAAACTAGTAGCCTGTAAAGGCTTTCAAAGCGACTAGAGCTTTTTAAGTATTGTAGTTTGTCACCATTCCACAAGTGTGCTTAATTTTAAAGTGTGACATGTTAGGTATCTATTTACTCTGCATAACATCATCTTTAATATTATACCAAGCAATTCAGTATTATATGGTGTTTTCGTGCATTAAAATTCATTATAGTGTACTTTTTCCAAATACCATGTGACATAAAAAATTGCAACACCTACTATTTTATTTTCTAGGGCCTCTGCTTAAAAAATGTATAATGTTTGGGGATTCTAAATAATTTTCTATCAAAAAATGCTGATTTTCACATGCAGGAGAGGAATGTCATAATTGGCCTGGGGCTCAAGTGGTTAAAGAATTCCACCTAATGCTTTTGGACAGAAGTACATTTAATTAGGCAAGTGTAAACACAGTACTTACAAATGTATTGTTTTTTTTGTCAGAATCTTCTACACAAGGTCAGCTCTGGATCTTCCCTAATCTACTCACCCTGCCTATAAAGAGTAGTGTTACAGTATCAATACCTTGTTCATGCCAATTAAAAACATCTTCTCCCAATCTCTTTGTACAGAATATTTTTAATTACTACATTAAAGCGGAACTATACTCACCTCTGATCCAGTGAGGTGCCATCCCAGAGCTCCCTGCCTGGCCAATAACATCTTCGGTCAGCTGACTTCCAGGTACCAAATACCGCTGTTATTGGCCGGGCAGGGATGGCGTCACTCTCGCGCATGCGTGGGAGTTCTGTCAAATTTGGCATTTCTGAATTTGTACAGTGTGCTGTGTCTGCGTAGCTCACTGTACAGGGTTGGACAGGCAGGTAAGTTGCTTTAATGCACAAGAGACAAAACATGTCTCTTCTGCATTAAAATTACTGCCTGTTTGCCCATTTTAATAGTTAACTTAAAGTTCCATTTTAATTACTACATAGAGTTATTACACTATCCTACTAGAATAAATTAGGAGTGACTCCAAAATGTGTTTTGCAAGGGAAGTGGGGTCCTGGATTTGCAACCAGTAGTGGGCTTTAGAAATAATGTGCACCACTGTTATATACGAGTTAGAAATGATCGATCTATACTCAAACTACACTCTGATAAATCCACAGCAAAAATGTACCAGCAAAGATAACCCTCACTCACAAAAAAACGGAATTCCACCAAACCATTAGCAAATTAAGCCAGCTTTTGATTTACAGTCTGATCATCCTCTTCTTACCTGACCTAAAGCTTCCATCAAGTTTCTAACTATAGTGTCTTGGTCCTCAGTGAGGATGCGATGCAAAGTGGCTCTTCTTTCACTATCCTTCTTCAGCATGAAGAATCCAGAATCTTTTTCCTCTGGAGATGGAGGAGCGCTGTGATCTTCAAACTGCTCATCTGGAATCCTAATATGGATAAGAAGATCGCATAAAGCATAATGTATTTATGTTTTTTTTTTTTTTTTAACATTATTAACCATTACTGTTGTAAGACTGCTAGTTTTAATTAAATCAGTGGCCTTACTTGTCTAGAAATACCATTTTATTTATCTTAAGCTAGGTACACACCATACATTTGTTTGTCATTCCACCCAGCAGGCTGAACGAGAAAAAAAAATGAATAGCTTGGGAGGAGCTTGCTGTACTAACTATCCGATGGTAGTACAGCGATCTCCCCGCTGAGCTATTGTGTTTTGACAGGGGGCTGCCCTCCTGTCAGGACACAGCGGTCAGCACTGGCAGCCATTTTCTGCCAGTAATACAAACAGATTAAAAAAAACCTCTGAATCAGAATTTGCATATCTATGTAGAATTAAAAGCACTATGGATCCCAGCAAATTATACATTTAATAAAGCTTTAGAACATATATATTTTTTTACACAGATTTGTATAAGAGCTGGACATGTTTATGAGGCTTAGGAACCCTACTTTTTCAGGAAACCCAGGGATTATCCTGCCTAAAAATATTAGCAAGTGGCTGACCATACATAATTGAACGATCGTTTTAAAAAAGATGTCTTTACAAAGATGCAAGCTTGCATTGGGAAAACTTGCATTTTTGTTCCCATGGGGGATAGGGCGATGCAGGCCTGTCTTAAAAATGTAAAAAAAAATAAAAAATCAGCACAATGATGTCTCTTGTGCTGCTGGCACCTGCTTTGGTTGAAATGTTCCTTCTCCAATCCCCCCCCCCCCCCTTCTACCACCACCACTGTAATCTTCTGGTCTGATGCGAGTTGATATAGCTTAAGGAGCGTAATAGGAACTCAAGAGTGCCCGACTATGACTGCTCCTTCCACCTACTCATTTATTCATAGACACTGTACTATAGCGTCTGTGAAAGGAGACGATCTATAAATGGAGGACGAGTGAATGACTGAAAGGTCCACCTCCTCCATTTATAGATTATGTTCCATTCATAAAAGCTATATCACAGCTTCTATAAATGGAGGGAGGGGGCGGCAAGGGCAGGCATAGTCAGCACTCTCGATGAATGCCTGTCACTACTCCCTCAGATCTATTAACCTCCATTGCATCAGAATATTATGGAGGCAGAGGAAAAAGATTTCTACTTAACCAGGAGACAGCAGCACAAGGAAGGGACACATAACACTGGTAAAAAGTAATGTTCCTTGTGCTGACATTTTTTTTTTCTAAGCTAAAGCTGGCCATACAAGGGTCAGTTTTGTTTTACGTTCAACAAGAGGGTTAAACAAAAAAAAAACTGACCCAATTCCCCTATCCACACATTCAAGGTGGATGTGTGGTAATCCTCCCCAATGTGTCATTGTGTTATGACAGTGGGGAGACTCCCCCGCCATCAGAATACATAGATTAGAACTTCAGCCAATTGCCTGCGGCGCTGATTGTGCAAAAGTATAGCCGTCAGGGTGGTTGAACAGAAATTGATAGGTAGATTGACTTCTGTTCAACCACAGTGGCCACACATGGACCAATGTTGGGCCAGTCCCTGCTGAACTGGCCAACTTTTGTTTCAAGTATATATAGGCTTTAAAGAAACAATGTTGACCGGAAAGAAAAAGCTAATAAACTTTCTTCCTAGTAAGATCATCCATGGAGCATCAGACAGGTGCTGGAAGTGCATACAAACAAACAATTGTTATTCAGTGTGCTCATCCAGTAATAACGTTTGGGAAACATATTGTCACCTGCTGCTGCTTCTTTTTAATTGCATTTAAATTGGCAGCTTACACTAGCACACTAGTTAATCAGAAGAGATAAAACAACTTCCTATTATTTATGGGTGAATCATAGACAGCATTTTATTATTTGAGCACACTGAGGAAAACTCTTAGAGGTATGTTTATAAGAAATGTGAAGAGATATTTGTTCCGTGAAACTGTGTGTTCAATTGTTCTATGCAGACTGGGGTAAAAATTACTGTTATTTGGCTATTTTTCCTCCTGGTCGAATATTATCCTTCATACAAAATGAGTATATGGGGAAAATACTCCACTAGATGGAGCCAATGATCATAGGAAAAAATAGGTATTTACTATGACTATAAGCTTTAATTATTTTATCCCATTTTCATCTCCCACAGACCTCTCCCTTCCTCACTTGCCTTCTACCTCTGGCCAGACAGGCAACAAAAAAAAAAGAACATCACATCTACAAACTTGTTAACAATTTAGTGAAGCGCTGTAAAATAATTATCAATAAATAAATACTAAAATGCCTATTATACCTAACAATTAGTGCTCTGTGAAAAAGAGCTCATATACATATATACATCAGTGCGAATTGGATAAACCGTGAAATGATGACAATAATACCAAGTGAATATAAGAAAATTGTTTGTCAAATTATTATTATTATTATACAGTATTTATAAAGCGCCAATAGTTCGCTCAGCGCTGTACATTACAGAGGGGAACAGAACATGTGACAGAACAATACCAATACAATGCAAAACATGAGGGGATCGAGGGCCCTGCTCTTTCGAGCTTAAATTATTATATAACTGTGAAACACACAAATAAACGATCACCATCTGTGAATAATCAAAATTAAATAAAGTCCATGCAAGTGAAACTTCGTGGAAAAAGTGATCTTCACTTCTAGTGCACAAATCCTCAAATGGCAGCAGTGCCTGCTCACCTCCCCACACTGACCCGCACAGGGCCAAAAGGTTATTAATCTCCTCTGTATCAGAACCTTATGAGTAGATAGCTCTTCCAGGGATCACAGGGGAATTGAAAACTTCTCTATTCCACTCCACCTCCACTCAGTAGTATATAAGACACAAGAGAAATCCTTTTCCCAGAGGTTGTGCTGCTCCATGTGCTGGCATCCATCTTGAAAACGCGGTACTGGTTTTGCATTTTCCCCCGCAGTCGGCGGTCAAAATGTTCCTATCCTGAATGCGTTTCTTCCACATTCAGGAGAGGGAGGTTTAACCTCACCTAAATGCGGAAGCTCCTAAACTCTGCTAAAAGCCTATGTGTACATGGACACATAGCTTTTTATGGAGTTGAGTTTAGGAGCTTTGCCAAAAAAAATGCCAAAAGCTCCTAAACTCGAGTTTAGGAGCTGCTTGTGTACATTAAGCCTTACCAGTTGCAATTGCATTGTTCCACTGTTCTGCATAATGCCACATTACTATTTGCCTGGCTCTTGTGCAATCGATGATGCCTGGATAGAGAGCAAGGCTGTGGTACTCTCACTGTTTTGTTCTTAGGTTAGAAGCCTATATTACCTTGGCCTATTCAGGTTGCCTAGGGTTGGAACCTAGAGCTCATATGCACTACTGGGCTACCTAGGCTTTCATATCTCCATTAGCCCTTCCTTAGTTCTAGAATTTTGGTTCCTGAAGGTTAGACATTCTCATACGTAGTCACCTAGTTTCCATACCAGGCAATAGTGAACTCTCCAGTCTCACCCTTCCCATCACCAAATTCTAGACCTAGAAATGGCATTCCCTCAGTGATTATGGCTTGAATACAGCTTAGAAATAATCAAACATTCTCCACAGTCTACATAAAAAACAAAGCAGATATAATGCTTTAGTAAAAGACATCCTCAACCTCAAATCCAAATCTAGTGAAGTTTTATTTGCCTTTCTTAAGCAACGTTGAATTCACTAGCAATGGATATGGCAGATTCTTATTTGTCAAAATCACTTTAGCACACTACCCACACAATTTCTACTGTATATTTCCCAGCTAGGGTCAATTATCATTTGGAGTCAGAACTCTAACATAGCTGTGAGATTTTGCCATCCTGATCCCGGAAGGACTTCTTTCCCTTTTTCTCATCCAGACCTAAACCAGATGTACACTTTCCACCTTATGCCTCTGTGATGTATGGAGACTTTCCCACCTACAGGACAAAGAGTATAGCTTCTATCCTCTCACACATAACACGTATAGCAGAATAGATTTAATCTTCACCTCTCAAGACTTCATAGGCAAAACCCCAGTGGCCCTATCTTCTGATTTGACCATGACCCTCTTTTGGTACATCTGAACATCCCTGAGTGACCTCACAGACTTTACCCCTAATGTCTCAACCACAACCTTCTCAGTGAACTTAATTATTTCTAAGGTGTCCCCCAAACCATCACTCATTTTACTGCAACTCACACTAACCACCGAATCCCCTCCTCCTGTCCAATGGGAAACTTTAAAATGAGTTTTTCTCTGAGTATTTATCTCTAACAGAGCTCATCTAAAAAGGTTGACATTGAACCAAATAGTGTAATTATATAAAAAAAAACCTTGACCCTCAAAACTCAGCCATTAATCCACAGTTTGTTCAATCACTATCCTGAAGCTAATCAAATAGATCCCAATGTCACCTCACCAGCATATTGACTGTGGCGTCATGGTGACTTGAGACAGAATGCATCATACTCAACAATTTGGTGACAAATGTGGTTGCCTCCTCATTTGTAACATACACACAATCCATGACCACTGTACACTCCTTCTATCCTTACCTAGAAAAATATATACACAAACCCATATACACAAACCCAGTGAGATATTCAGGGCATTAAAATCCTTCTACACCACTCTTTATAATATATAAAACAAAATACTCTGACCTCCCCTTGGACATGCCCAAACAGAAAATTACCACTACACACAGCCCGCAGTTCTACCCACACTATCTGCTGTATACAGCAGATTCTTCATTCACTTCTGAAGATCTCTTACATTTACTCTATCCACAAATAAATGTCATGGCCAAGATGGCTTCACTACTAAGTGCTATAAAATTTCTAAAGATTTCCTAACAAAGACCTAGACCTTCCTTAAAGCTTGCAGCGCAGTATCATTTGGTCACAGCATTTGGCCCTGGAGTTGGCAACACAAATGTTCTGGATTTCTCCAGAGATTCCTGGGCTCAAAAATCTGCCTCCCACACAATCCCTCATCTATACAGACTGCTCAGGGGAGAGACCTCCTAGAGTAGACTTTACTTTGTGCACTGGTGCGCAATTATGTTCGGACAAAAAGGGGCCATCCCCAAACTGTTCCCATGAAATTGTCCAAAATTTCTTGGTATGCTGACGCCTTAAAAGTTTCCTTCACTGGAACTAAGGGGCCAAGTCCAACCCTCTGAAAAACAACCCCACACCTTGCATTGCACTTGGTGATGTAAGGCTTGGATGCAGCTGCTCAGCCATGGAAACCCATTCCATGAAGCTCACTGTTGTTGTGCCGATCTGAAGTTTGGAGGTCTTTAGCTATTGACTCTGCAGTCATTTGGCGACTTCTGCGCACTGTGCGCTTCAGCATGCACTGACCCCGCTCTGTCATTTTACATGGCCTATACTTCGTGGATGAATTGCTGTTGTTCCCAGTTGCTTCCACTTTGTCATAATACCACTAACTGTTGACCGTGGAATATTTAGTAGCAAGGAACCTTCACGGATGGACTTATTGCACAGGTGGCAACCTATCACAGTACCACGCTTGAATTCAATGAGCTCCTGAGAGCAACCCATCCTTTCACAAATGTTTGTAGAAGCAGTCTGCATGCCTAGGTGCTTTTATACACCTGTGGCCATGGAGGTGATTGGAACACCTGAATCCAATGATTTGGAGGAGTGTCCCAGTACTTTTGGCAATATAGTGTATCTAGAAAGGACATTCTTATCAGACAAATCTTTATCCCTCATACTTCCTGTTTATTTTCAGTTAAATATAGATACGTGCCAAATGTACAGTATGTTACTGTGCAGTGATGGGACAGTAAAAATAAACATTCTAGAGATGATAAAATACATGCAATAACACACAAACTCAATATTTACCCAAGGAAAAAACTCCTTGGACTCTTGCCCTCTTTTTCCACACAAGACTTTGTTCTTGATTTAAAAGAGAAAGGCTCTGATCTTAAGTCAGTGTCTGGAGAAACTGATCCATATTCACTGCTACTGCTTGTATCTTCCACCATTACTGGGACCGGCAATGATATACTTCTCAGATATTCTATAAATGAATATGAAATAAATATAGGCATTATTATATGCTTGTATTAACACCAATGCTCTCATCAAATAAACATCATATAATTCCCATTTTTACTCTTATATTTATATAGCCGTACATAACATATATCGCCTTCAGGATACAGATCCACTTCTTTTTTGTAAGGTAGCACAGCAGGTATTGCATTGAAATGCATTAAATGTGATGAAGCTGCCTTATTGTTCCTCTGTGGGGTTCTGGAGCCCATCACTTCTGATGAGTTTCATTTGCCTTTTAATGCATTTATTAAACTGAAAACTACTATGCGTCCCTTCCTTTTTCCAGTGGAAAATAACAAATAATGAATAAAATGACTTACAGTTTTAAAGCCTACTCTCAAAATGTTCCCAGACTTGAGACCAATAGCTAATTGGTCATTGTGCTGGATAAATAGTATGTGATCACTGCTACAATGGCTGTGCTGATATTTTTTTTTAACAGGTGTTTATTTGTAAATTTTTTTTTCCTTATTCCTATGATTACAAAACATAAGTAATTTAACACAGGCGATGGCAAGAGAGTCAGCTGCGCAGAGGCAGTGCTAATATTTAAAAAGCTTATATAAGCATTATTAATTGATGTAGATGTAGAATTAAAGTGGAGCTCCGGTCTCCTTAGCAATTTTTTTTTAATAAAAGCACCCCCATGATTCTTATTACTCCTACTGTATAATTTGGATATTGTTCTAAGTGTCTTCATGCTCTGTAGTTATTAATTACTTACATGATCCTGGCAGGCAGCAGCCGTCACTAATGTGGGCATCTAAAGCCTGCTTCTATTTATTTCCAAAATTCAGTGTAGCTACCTACCCAGCATGCACCTCCCAATCTCGCACCTGCGCAGTAATGACATTGTGTGGCGCTGTTGATTACAGGTTGCCATAGCAATGGTGACATTAGTGGACGTTCCCACCCCATTTTTTGGCAACCTGTCAATCAAAATGTCAGCTATTAGGCTTCCCGAAGACTCCTGGGATAGATTACGCCGATATCCCAGGAGTCCTTAGGAATCGCCTAATGATCACATCGCCTAGGCGGCCGGGAATGGAAGTGCTGCCTACATACATTAAATAAGGTGCTTAAACATTTTTTTAAAAATTTCCATTTCAGACTGTACTGGGGATGGGCACTGCGATCACAGGAATATGTCAAAATGGGTGGAACTGGAGCTTTAAGTTAATGGGTTTGATTAACAAAACAAGTAGAGATTGCTTACAAAGTGAATGTTTACTGAGCTTACTAAATAATGGGAAGCTAAATTCACCTCAATCATCCATTCATGTTCAAGAAAAAAATTCAGTTTTTTTCTTCCTGTTTCTTCCCCTTGCACACAGTTGAGTATTCAAAGTGAACACTGGTTCCCTTTATGTACTAAGTTCAGTGAACATTCACTTTGCTAAATGAACAGTTTCTACTTTAGTAAATTAACTCCGATTTGTCTGTGTTGCAAGATTCAGAAGGGAAGATGCCCTGACCAGAACTAGTCATGAGGACATAAACAACAAGTGCCCACAGGGGCCACCTGTTTTTTGCATTCTGGCAGAGATGTGTTACAGTAAGTGAAGCACCCTTTCATTTTTAAATTCTCAAATAACTCTCATGCTACAATGCTTCCAATTAGTGCAACAATTATATGTGACCCAACTAATACAAATTTGGCTTTTTCAGCAGCCTGCCAGCACTGACATGTGTTCCCACATCCCCTAATTTGTTATTCCATAAAGTTCAGCACTGCTATAAACGTCAAAGACAAACATATTAAGATTTATATAAACTAAAAAACACCATAAAATTGTCTTGTGTGCTAGGGATTTGTTGTGACCACCAGTAATAAATAAATACCACCAAAAACCTAGCAAATCCCAAACAAATATACAAATTAAAATACCATAAAGTATTGTGAAAATGCAGTTAATAAATACTGTACACTCACCGGCCACTTTATTAGGTACACCTATTCAATTACTTGGTAACACAAATTGCTAATCAGCCAATCACATGGCAGCAACAAAATGAACTTAGGCATCTAGACATGGTGAAGACAACTTGCTGAAGTTCAAACTGAGCATCAGAATGGGGAAGAAAGGGAATTTAAGTGACTTTAAACATGACATGGTTGTTTGTGCCAGACAGGCTGGTATTTCAAAAACTGCTGATCTACTGGGATTTTCACATACAATCATCTCTAGGTTTTACAGAGAATGGTCCAAAAAAGAGAAAACATCCAGTGAGCGGCAGTTGTGTGGACGAAGATGCCTTGTTGATGTCAGAGGTCAGAGGAAAATGGGAAGACTGGTTTGAGATGATAGAAAGGTAACAGTAACTCCTGTCAATCTGGACCAAAATCTCTAAGGATGTTTCCAACACCTTGTTGAATCTATGACACAAATAATTAATGCAATTCTGAGGGCAAAAGGTGTACCTCATAAAGCAATGGGTGAGTGAATTATAAATAAAAAAGTCCAACCCCAGTGCTCATCAGATAAAAAGTGCTCTTGTGCTTCAAATATAAATTCAATCAGATGCTTCACCCCCTGTACTCACACCATGCTCACCTCTATATTTGACCCATAAAATCTCTTTTATAGATCTATTGTATGCCTTCCCTTTTAAGGGGTCTCAAAACCTCTGGTTTCTTCCTGGAATCTACCTTTTCCTCTCTTCCAGCTCGTATGGTAATTAAACACTATTTCACTTTACTTAGGTGGCAGCTCAATATCCACCAAAAAAGATCCACCAGATTCAGCTCCAAAATAAATACACAGGGATCATAGTACTTTCTGCATATGCTTTCTTTTAATAAATACAATAAAAACACATGCACTTTTATATATGCACTATTCTGGTGCACTGCAGTGAAAAAGCATGTCTGTCCCCTTAAGAAATGGTTTAGATCGTGAACAGCACTCTTCAGCCTGGTGCTTGCTCACTTCCGGTATTAGTGTGTTGACCTCACTGGCCCCGCCCTGACACGTTTCGTCACTCATGCATGTGACTTTTTCAGGAACCAGTGATGTCATCAAAGCACAAGAGTACTTTTTTCTGGACTTCTTATTAATTATATTAGTTAATAATTGCATTTTCACAATATTTTATGGCATTTTAGTTTGATGCATATCCGTTTGGGATATGATAGGCTTTTAGTGGTATTTATTTATTACAAGTGGTCACAACAAATTTCCAACACACAGGACAATTTTATGTTTTTTTTAACTTAATATAAATCTTGATGTGTTTTTGTGATTGAAGTTTACAGCAGTGCAAAAATTTCACTTTAGTGTTCCCAAATCAGTGCTAAAAGACATCGAGACTGGTGTTACCGCAGCAAGGGCAAAATGTTCACAGGTTATTTAAGCCTCAATCTTTTCCCTCTTTAATTAATCAAGCAGTGTAGCAGATAATCATATTGCTTGAAACTGTGGGGTTGATTTACTAAAGGCAAATAGGCTGTTCAGAGCTTAGTAAATGTGGTAAAATTTCAATTTGCCAAGATTCATGTGCAAGGAAAATTGCATTTTTCTTGCACATGACCGGATGATGGAACTCAGCAGAAGTCCCTACAGAGTGAACAGTCTGTTGCCTTTAGTAGATCAAGCCTCTTGTGTGTAGGATTTGTTACTATGGTTTATTGCACTGAGCCTAAAGGCCACCATACTTAGCTCAATTTTTTCCTTGTTCAGTCTGCAGAATGAACAAAAGAAATTTAGTCAATTCCCCAGTCCACATTATTAGTCTCGACTGTTGTATTCACATGGTGCTGTGGTTATTGTATTTGGGCGGCTGCAGCACCAGTTGCTACTTAAGTGCAGTGGTGTTGCTGAACAGTGACTGTGAATTTTAAATCTGTGTAGTGCTCAAATTACAGGTCAAATTTCAGCCAACTTAGCAAGAGTTGGCCAAAATTCAAGCCACCTATCAAGGGCTCAAGAACAATTAAAACGGGTATTTTCCCATTTTTTTGTTAGTATACATGAAATAGATCAGCTTAAAGTGTATAATTATGTATAATAATGGACTTATCTCATTTGCTCCCTCTTGGTCTGTTAAATGTACAATTGAAAAGGTTTTGTTAGATCTGTTCTATAAGTGTAAAAATTACCTGCTGATTTTTTTTTTTTAAATACAGGGCTGGTCTGACTGCAGTCTTATCTCAAGCATCTAAACAGCTGGACCTAGCTCACTTTCTTGAACTACAAAACACTTCCTCCTATGTTGTGGAGGATGGGGGGACAGGGGGGGCGTTATTCAGAAACTAGAGCTGGGCGGAGACAGACATAATTTAATCCAGAAAATTTATGTTGTTAGCCTCAGGAAAGACAGACAGACAGCTGGTACCGATAGACAGACAGACAGACAGAGACAGAGAGATAGATAGATAGAGAGAGAGCAAAATAAATGTCTTACCACTTGTTCCAGGGGAAAGGGCTGTGTGGAAAATGAAGAAAAATGCAGTCAGTATTTGACAAAATAACATGTTTCATTTGTGGAGAATCATTCTGTACAACAGGGCTTGACAAATTTGCTTTGAATCTAGGAGTCAGCTAGCTAAAAAAGTTAGGAGCCATTTTTTTTTTTTGACTGGCAGGGCTTTAATTTCGGAGACAGAGATGACCAACCGTTGATCTCTAAAGGGTGGTTGCTTATAAAAGGTGACTGATATATTGGGGGGGTCTCTAAAGGGGATGCTAATATGAAGGGACTCTAATGGGGGTCTCTAAGGGGGGTGTTAATATGCAGGGACTCTAATTTAATGGGATGGGGGGAGCCAGAGCTAAGGAGCAGAGCTGGGAGGCAGCTCTAGGCCTATTTTCCTCCTCTTTAGTGTGTACAGGGTGCAAAGGAGATCACATGAGTTGATGGGGGGGGGAGTTGGCCTGGCAGGGGAGAAGGCAGAGACCACAGGAAGGCAGGTGCCTGGGGTGTTTCCTCTCACCTGGGGAGTAGAGTTCAGCCAGCTCTCGGGCCTGCCAGGGCTCAATGTCAGCTCCTATATGCATCATCCTTGCCATCTTCCCGTCAGCCAATCAGAGAAACCACAATCCCCAGCTCCTCACCCGATTAGGGGAGGGTTAAAAGGGGGTAGAAGCTCTGGCCAATGGAGAGTGGGGAGGCTGATGGGCTGCCCAACCATCAGTCCCACACAAGGTAAGCATGTGATACACGGTCAATGAAGGAGAGAAGGTGAGCATTTCAGTGGGCGGCTGCTGTGGAGTTGCCCCTGCCTTGATGGCAGCGGTGGATGGGCTGGTGGGAGCCCAGGTGCCAGGACGCGATTTCTGGGCGCCGTGGTGACCTGATGCCCGGGAATTGTTGAGCCCTGCTGTACAAGATGTATGAATAAGGAATAAAATTATTATAAACTCAAAAAAATTAAGTCAACTTGGTGCCAGATCAGGGTTCTGAGTCCTCTACTGTAAATTGTTAGAAAATTAAGATTCACCAAAAAGTACTTTAACAATAAATTTAAAAAGCCTTACAACAAACTAAGGGCTCATTTCAATTCTAGGTTTTGGCTGCATTTTGCAGAAACCCAAAATACACAGAAACTGCAAGGTAAATTCTTTAGCATATCTTCAAAAGTAAAGAGTTCAACTAATATTTTCATAAGTCTTCGTTTTGCAAAATGTCCCAAGCAGCATTTTCCAACTGTTTTGGTCAAAGCACATCCCTCCAAATGTATCCATTAATATTAATGGTACCACAAGAAAAACACACACACCCTTTCAAGTTATGAGAAGCACTTTTAAGAGATTGCAGTATTCAGTGTGTTCATTGCAAGTAGATATTCACAGCATGTTGGAAAAAAATTAAAGCTGAACTCTCTGGACAGGACTATTCTTAAATAATATAAAAGGTTCTTTCTCACCTTAGACTAAATTCTTTAGCTCTTTTAACACAAGCACTCTGCGTCTTCTAAATCTTTCATTGAATCAGTACTCAGTCATGCTGTGCCACCTTGATTTCCTTTTAACAAGAGCAGAGGCCAGGATCCCTACTATTCCCTTGACCATCAGTCTTGTTCCTTCCTCTCAGTAGTTCTGTGTTATAGCAAGCAGGAGGTCATCATGCTGCTACTTGATGTAGTGGGCGGGACCCTTGCATCAAACTCCCGGTCTGACCATTATGTTTTTTGAGGGAAAGGCCAAGAGACTTTTGGACTGTTCGACCCATCAGAACTTCACACCATAATCCTGCCCATACCCATAACATATTCCCATGGAATCATGGGAACTGTAGTTTGAAAATGTGGGGCTTTTTTTGAGGATGTGACAAGCCTGCCTCTCTGATCCAACTCCTGCATGCCTGTCCAGTGTTGTTTAAAAAATGCAGGAGTGATGATATTACAGTTTTTTCAAAGGAATATACTTGCTTAACTGGACTCTTTTTCTTTTAGCAATAACAAGCTTTGTCATATGCATACTGAACAGTTGCAAATGTGAAATTTTGCTGGTATTCTGGAGTTCAGCTTTAAAGGCTAAATTCGCCTTTGAAATAAAAATAAATAAATGCACATATTTTTGCAGGTAACAAAATGTGCTTTTATTCTTTTTTTCTCAGGAGCCTGCAGAGCATTCCACCCACAATCAGCAGATCATATGTGCAAAGTCTGCCTACAGCCTTCTGCCGATACCTCTGTATGGGCTGTTTGAATGCTGTAGAAAGTGTCAATGAACTAGGAGAGTGCTGACCAGAGCCCTCGCAGTTCACTGAGAACTAGAACTACAAGCCCTCTGCTGGGGTGGCAGATGGAACTTGTGGTTCACTCATTCAAAAATTTCTCAGCCACTTTGTTTTTAAATTGTGACAGTGGGTGTGGGAGAAGAACCCCACCTGTTGTCACGGGGGGAAGGGCAGGGAACAGGAGGTGTGGGGATTGGTGCATAGTAACATGTTACACCCTAAATATGGGTGTAACATATAGTATGTTACTAAAGGTAAACTTAGCTTTTAACAACTGGTCAGTAAGTGTTCCTTTGTTTCCAGGGAACACTTTTTAACCTTCTAGCAAACTTAAAATCCAAATCTACCCTACCTTGCTCTTCCCTAAGGCTAGGTTTACACCTCCAGCAGTTTCTACCATCCTCTACCAATGGATCGCTTTTCAGAGGGCAGTAGAACAGAAGCTTCCAGGCAATCAGGAAGCAATATTGCAGCCTCCTGAATGCCTATTTCCTTTTTTTTTTTTGACCAAATGATGATTTTTCTGGTCACTAATGTGCCACAAATGCAAGCCATTGTGGTTCAATCCAGTTCACTTTAATGGGTGAGTCTGAACCAGCAGTGATGTCTCTCAAACTAGATGTTTTGCTTCATGGCCAAAGCATGTGTACAACCTCTTTTGGCTGCCTTTTTAGGCTTTCAGTGGGTGGTCAGAGGTGGTAGAAATGTTTTACCTTACTTTAGATATTAAAGCTCAGGTACAGCAAACACTTTTTTAGTATTGGATAAAAAAAAAGAAGGCTTAGAACTCTTTTTTTTTCTTTTTTTCTTTTGATTGCTGTCTCTTCCTCTCTCCTTAACGAAGTGTCAGATAGAAAGGTGGGAAATCTCTTCAAAGGGGGCAGCCAGCAAAAAAAAAAAAAAAAAAATACATTTTGGCTTTAAAATAACTTTGAGCCTTTGAGAGAGACCTCTGCTGCGTAAAAATTTACGCAGATTGGTGTGATTCCTATGAACACACGGAATAGTTTGTCAAGAATGTGTACATTTTGAATGCCCTACTTTTACCTGACAGTTTTAGATTGGATTTTCGTTTTTTCATGGAAACCTTCAAAAACTCATCCATAAGTAAGTCAGTAGCAGTTGCACGTTTCACGGGATCTGGTTCAAAGCAGCGCAGTAGAAAGGCCTTGGCCTCTGCTGACATGGATTCAGGTATTTCTGGGTGGATTTTAAACATGCCAACCTGTGTAGAAAAAAAAGGTAATAAATTATTTTTGTGTTAAAATGTTCGTTTACCACATGTATGGTGATGCTTATATTTGCTTGGGTGATAGAATCAATATTGTTACACAACAATAGTTTATATCATGTGCCATTTGTTATGAATTGATCAATATTCTATGTTTCACCTTATGGTGGTGCTGGGGATAAAATCTGAAAGTCCATGTTTCTACTAAATAGCATATGAGACAGATATGAGACAGATAACAACAAAATCAAGAGCAAGAGAGAAGGAGTGATTAATAATTAATATTACGATAATAATGTTTTCCTAGTCCGTATATAATCACCAACTAAATTTGCCTTACTTTAAACATGGCAGCCTGTGGCTCTCCTAATTCATAAAACGGAGGCTTTCCTGTGGCCATCTCTATTACAGTGCAGCCTAGGGACCATATGTCGGCTGGCTTCCCATATCCTCTTGGTCCTTTATCAATTATTTCTGGAGCCATATATTGAAGCGTGCCTGAAACAAACAACATTCCATCATCTCAAACACAACAAAATCAATTCACAATCACAGAAAAAAACCACAACTAAACTAATGGAGAATATAGAGTATGTGCGGACAACAATTCCAAGCAACTACACATAAACAGTCCTCAGAAAGGAGATTCAGAGGCACTTTGATACACTGGGTTAGATTTACTAAAATTGGTGCACTCAGAATCTGGTGCAGCTGTGCATGGTAGCCAATCAGCTTCTAACTCCAGCTTGTTCAATTAAGCTGTGCCAATAAAACCTGGAAGATGGTTTCTATGCACCAGAGTTTGCAATCTACAGTTTTAGTAGATAACCCCTATTATTTCTAAAGGACTTGAGAATCTTCACTCAAGAAATGGAGTGAAGAGCCACTGCAATTCAAATAAAAACAAATTCAGATTTATTTTATCTGCACATGATTTTCTATTCAAAGTGAACACAGCTGCAACTAACTGATGATTTTCAACTTCTTCGGTAACTCAGTCTCATTGTTTCTGTGCTTGGAGGCTTGCATTGGAACCCAGTAAGGAAATTTTGATTTCTGAATTTCCACATGCACAGGAAAAAACATGGGACATTCAATTTGCAAAAACAGCTATAATAGTTATATCATGAACAGCTACAGTTATGACATTGTGATACTTGGCTCTTGACAGCACATTTCTTTGGTGAACTTAAATATTTAATCTATAATGACAACAACTAATACAATATGTAACATAAATTAATAGGTATTGTATGTTGCTTGTTACATAGGCACATAGCTGGTCTGGTTGAAAAAAAGACATCCAGTTTAACCAATACATTTGCATTAACCTTTTTTTCATAGAAATAATTTACAATTTTTTTCATCTACTCCCTATAGACATTGAATCTGGAGTTAATAATCTTAACACTCACAAATAAGAAGGGTAAAATTCCTCTAAAAGTTATTCCATGCATTATGTCGGTCATGTGACCACATATCGCAAGCAACACAGAAAATGTCAAATCGGTATTGCTAGTATGCAGTATTTATCGCAAATAGCAAAAATGCTCAGTAAATATTGCCTAAATAGACCTTAAAAAAATTCAAATAAATAAATGCAGTAATTATTGGTAGAGGCGTACGGTAAGTATTGGTAGCTGTCAGTAACTGTCCATGGTTGTTAAGGAGTGAGGGGCCGCAGCGCCTTTAATAGCCTACGAGTCATCAGTTATCAGCAGGGTTCCCCGCTGACAGCTGAATGTAAAAAAAATTAAGCAAAAAACGGCATGGCCACATTATCCCCCATACCAAGCCTTTTGGGTCTAGTATGGATTTTGAGGGAAACCTCCCAGGCGAAAAAAAAAAAAAAAAAAAGGGCATAGGCCCCCCCCCCCCCCCAAATCCATACCAGGCCCTTATCCAAGCATGCAGCCAAGCAGGTCAGGAAGGGGGGGGGGACAAGCGAATGCCCCCCCGAAACCATACTAGGCCACACACTCTCAACATGGTGGGGGGTGCTTTGGGGCAGGAGGGCTTCCCCCTCCCAAAGCACCTTGTCTCCATGTTGATGGAGACATGGGGCTTTTCCAAACAACCCTGACCGGAGTTGTGGGGGTCAACGGGTGGGGGGCTTTTCAGAATATGGAAGCCCCCTTTACAAGGACGCCCCCAGACCCAGGGCATCCCTATGTGAATGAATATGGGGTACTACTACTACACCACTAAAGGGGGAAAAAAAAAAAAAAGGCTCCACTCTCAACGAAGGCTCCCTATGAAGGTGCCAGCATGCCCCGGTCGATGACGTTACAAGGGGTCATGGTCACCCGGGGACATCACCGAATGGCCCGCCCCTTAGTTATTTCAGAACTGTCAGACGGGCGGGAGCCTTCATCATGAGTGGAGCCTTTTTTTTTTTTTTCCTTTTTTCGGGTTGGTGGTGGGCATCGTGATGGAAAATAGATCTACATCAGGAGACATTTTTTTTTATTTTATTTTTTTTTTAATAAAGGACTTATCGAAAACTGCCTCCTGTGTTTTTTACACTACACTTTTTTTTTCTTTTTTTTTTGGTGAATGAGTAGTGGTACCACGTACCCCATACTCATTCACATGGGGGCCACCTTCCAGATTCAGATAAGCCCCCCACACACACAGACCCCCACAACCACCATCCAGGGTTGTGGGGAAGAAGTCCTTGTCCCTATCAACATGGAGACAAAGTGCTTTGGGGGGGCCCCTGCCCCAAAGAATCCCCCCCATGTTGATGGCATGTGGTCTGGAACGGTTGTGGCCCTCCCCCTTTCCTGACCTGCCGGGCTGCATGCTCGGATAAGGGTCTGGTATGGATTTTGGGGAGGATCCCATGCTATTTTTTTTTTAAATTAATTTATAATTACCGGCAGCTCTTTTTTTTTTTTACATTCAGGTGTCAGCGGGTAACCCACTGACAACTGAAACATTACTGCATGTTTTGACTACTAAAATACCGCATGATCTAATAAAATAACTAATGCAGTAGTTTAGTAGTGTTTTTTAGTGAATGCCTTTTTGAATTTCTTTTAGAAAAATGCTGTGCAGTACAGCTGTGCATACTGCTCAGTGAATTGCTGTGCAATATCTTACCGCATACTGGTTAGTAAATTGCCCCCAATTCTCTTAAAATTTTCAAGCTGTGTGTCAGACATTGTGAAAATAATGCATTAGAATGCTTATGAATAAACTACAAAAAATTATGTTTAGTAACTGACCTGACTGTATAATTGGTCATTGAGTGGCATATATTGAACAAAGTTTCCTATACGTTATGTGCAATATTAGAGAAGATGTATTGCTTATGTAATAAGACAATGTTGTGGATGAGCTTCCATAGGGACAGGCTTTTGCATGCTTCAGAGTTGATGTTCTCTATATACAAGTCTATGGGAATGCAAAAGCAGCTTGAAGTAAGCAAAATGCAGGTCATCTGCAATTGCAATAAACCCTGAATGATCTCATAGGGTCTCAAACTGATGTCAAAAGCACGCTGCATTTGCCCAATCATTCTAAGCAGATCGAAACTGCCCTTTCTATGCTTTTGCACCCACTAGGTCTAAACAGATTTGTTTCACTATAAATAATGCAGCTAATTTACTAAAGGAGTAGAACATGTATATGTTGTAAAGTGAATTTTAATTAGCTTAGTATGAGTGGAAGCCAAGTGAAAATTGACTTTGCTAGGAAAATTTTAAAAACTGGATTTTTGCTCATGCATGAGTGGAAGTCAACACAGCTTTACCTCATTCACTATGCTAAGTGAATTTTCACTTAGTGAATTTATACTTAGCTTAGTAAATAAGGTGAGGCTATGCTTTTTTTAAAAATGACATGGTTAAAAAAATTTTCATTCAGCTTCTCCTCATTCATTGAGCTATGAAAAGTAAACAGGCATGTCTCCTTTAGTAAATCAACCCCAGGGACCAGACAAATTTCAAATCCATGTATGGGCACCCTAGCTGTACAAAAGTCAATCTACCGATCAACTTCTGTACAACCAACCTCTCAGGTCTTTCCCAATCAATCAGTGCTGCTGGCTATAGCCAGCAGAAATAATCATTGTATTCTGATGGTGGAGAAGTGTCTCCCTGCTGTCAGAGCACAGTGGGAGTGATTCCCTCATCCACCTCAAATGTGTGAATGGGGGAATCAGATCATTAATTTATGGGCTGCCTTACCAGTGAATGTCTCCGTATTTGGGTTGATTCCAGCCAGCCTCTTAGATGTACCAAAGTCGGAGATTTTCAGAACACCACTATAGGTGTTAATTAATACATTATCCCCCTAGAATAAAAAAAATGCACGTTAATTAGCATTCACAGAAGGGGAAAGTTTCCTTTTAAAAACCCATTTGACTGTAAATACAAGAATAATATGAATAACCTACTAAACTAATATTAAATACACTCCACCTTATGATGACATTATTGTGGAATTCAGGTACCAAACTCTCTGTGAACAATATCCAAAAGTATTATTACTCCTACTTTCCCCACTCTGCCATTTGGATATCACTCCACTTCCTAAAACTCAATATTTCTAAAACTAAGCTCATATTCTCCCTGTGTGTTTCCTTGCCCCATTTTTCCATCAAGATTAGCAGCACAACTAACAATCCCTCTCCTCATGCCAGGGTGCTACATGTAATCCTGAACTCTGACCTCTCCATCCAGCCCCACATACAGTCAATGTTCAAATGATGCCATCTTATCCTCCATAACATTTAAATATACACTACACAAGCTACTAATCCACTCACTTGTTATCTTTTGCTTTGATTACTGCCTGTGCTGATTGACTGCCAGTTTTCCAGCAGGACCCTTCGACAAAAGCTGGTCTATCTACCGACCGACTTCTGTTGGACAGACAAGGCTACACACAGAGGAATTTTATCCATGTATGGCCAGCGTATAATTCACCTTCCTATCTGCTCAGTATCTGCCAGCCTGTTCTACTAATCCCCCACTGGCTTCTGATCACCAGTGAATTCTGATCAATAAATAAAACAACTCTACCCTAATTTACAGTATCTCACAGAAGTGAGTACCTCCCTCACATTTTTGTAAATATTTTATTATATCTTTTCATGTGACAACACTAAAGAAATGACACTTTGCTACAATGTAAAGTAGTGAGTGTACAGCTTGTATAACATGTAATGTGAAAATGTCCAAATTGGGCCCAAAGTGTCTATTTTGTGTGTCCACCATTATTTTCCAGCACTGCCTTAACCCTCTTGGGCATTTAGTTCACCAGAGCTTCACAGGTTGCCAATGGAGTCCTCTTCCACTCCTCCATGACAACATCACAGAGCTGATGGATGTTAGGGACCTACTGTTTTAGGATGCCCCACAGATGCTCAATAGGGTTTAGGTTTGGAGACATGCTTGGCCAGTGCATCACCTTTACCCTCAGCTTCTTTAGCAAGGCAGTGGTCGCCTTGGAGGTGTGTTTGGGGTTGTTATGTTGGAATATTGCCCTGTGGCCCAGTCTCCGAAGGGAGGGGATCATGCTCTGCTTCAGTATGTCACAGTACATGTTGGCATTCATGGTTCCCTCAATGAACTGTAGCTCCCCAGTGATGGCAGCACTCATACAGCCCCAAACCATGACACTCCCACCACCATGCTTGACTGTAGGCAAGACACACTTGTCTTTGTACTCCTCACCTGGTTGGCACCACACACGCTTGACACCATCTGAACCAAACAATTTATCTTGGTCTCATCAGACCACAGGACATGGTTCCAGTAATCCATGTCCTTAGTCTGCATGTCTTCAGCAAACTGTTTGCGGGTTTCTTGTGCATTATCTTTATTAGAGGCTTCTGGAACAACAGCCATGTGGACCAATTTGAACTGTGCGGCGTATGATCTGAGCACTAATAGGCTCCCCCCCACCCCTTCAACCTCTGCAGCAATGCTGGCAGCCCTCATACATCTATTTCCCAAAGACAACCTCTGAATATGACGCTGAGCACGTGCACTCAACTTCTTTGGTTGACCATGGCGAGGCCTGTTCTGAGTGGAACCTGTTTGTTAAACCCCTGTATGGTCTTGGCTTCCATGCTGCAGCTCAGTTTCAGGGTCTTGGCAATCTTCTTATAGCCTAGGCCATCTTTATGTAGAGCAACAATTCTTTTTTTCAGATCCTTTAGGGAGTTCTTTGCAATGAGGTGCCATGTTGAACTTCCAGTGACCAGTATGAGAGAGTGAGAGCAATAACACCAAATTTAACACAATAATGGTAGAAGGTCTAATGCGCTGCCAAATAAAAACCTAAAAAACATAAACACCAATGTAATCACCCTAAATGTTTTCCACCACTAAAGAATAAATGTAAAAATAGTGCTGCGCTAACAAATGTTGATAATAATATACTAAATAAATATAAATCCTCAAGAAATCAATAATAAATACATAAATAGTGTCAGTGTATATACCACATAAACATATAATGTGAAAGAGGTCCACATATCAAAACCTCAACATAGGTATATAGAATATGGGACCAATAATAAAATATTATTAATATTTGTTAGCGCAGCACTATTTTTGCATTTATACCAAATTTAACACACCTACTCCACATTCACACCTAAGACCTTGTAACACTAACGAGTCACATGACACCGGGAGGGAAAATGGCTAATAGGGCCCAATTTGGACATTTTCACTTAGGGGTGTACTCACTTTTGTTGCCAGCGGTTTAGACATTATTGGCTGTGTGTTGAGTTATTTTGAGGGTCAGCAAATTTACACTGTTATACAAACTGTACACTCACTACTTTACATTGAAGCAAAATGTAATTTCTTCAGTGTTGTCACATGAAAAGGTATAATAAAAACTATTTACAAAAATGTGAGGGGTGTACTCACTTCTGTGAGATACTATACATAATCTCAAAGTATCAATCAAACTGTCCTCTTCGCTCCTCCCAAGACCTGATCTCTAGCTATTTATCACCACTCGCATGATTGCCTCCAGGACTTCTCCAGAGCCTCTTCCTCCCTCTGGAACTTCCTACCCCAATCTGTATGGCTAGTTCTTGCTCTATCCACCTTTGGGCTATCTCTGAAAACTCATCTTTTCAGAGAAGCGTATCCTGTCTCTGCCTAACAACTGAACTTTTACCTTCTCCATCAACTTATGTTCCCCCTAGTTGTAAACCCTTTCTTTAAATCGTACGTTCCAACAAGCAGGGCCCTCCTAACCCTCTTGTCTTGATTTGTATTTTAACTGTATGTAGTCCTGTACAATATTGTAGGGGGACTAGTAAACTGTTGGTGCCATATACATCCTGTATAATATTAATATTCCCCAATCATTACGCTGAAGTAATCAAAAGAAGGGGCTCAAATTCCAAGAGCAACAGCTTACAGAAATTGTTGCTATAACAGCAAGAATGGTATAATGAACTGTAATTTTAAAACAGCATGTTCAGGGCTATAAATTTACCACATCTTATGCAGAGGAAGCCTACATAAAAGGATATCCCCTTTATCCTCCATTCAAAATTAAATGTTTGGCTAGAGTTCTTCTAATATTTCACTTAACAGCAACCCATTATGCTTGTGAAAAAAAAAGCTATATGCTTTTCTACATATAATTAAAAATATTCTGATTTTACATTCCTGATACAAATAAAAACAATGATAATTACACCCTACAAGTGTAAAACTATTTACCGGTCAGTTTGAAGTTCTCATCTATAGGTGATAAAACAAGTCAATATCTTTGTTGTCATATTGTAAAACACAAAATCTAAATCTAAAGTAGTATCAGTCGCTTTGTTGGCCTCCATAGTTTTTCTGGATACAGGTCAAAGATTTGGATAAAAACAGTGCTGATTATTGCTTTGAGCATTTTGACATTTTGTTTTTCTTCTTTACATGAACTGAACTACGGTACTTGTACCACACATACATAAAAATTGTTAACTGACTCTTTCGATAAAAAAAAATCAGTACTTAAAATACTTTGTACTGACCTTTATATCTCGATGAACAATCTGATTGTCATGAAGATATTTTAAACCTTCAAGAATCTGTTTGGTATAAAAGGCAATTGTTTGTTCATTTTGTTTCAGAGGTCCCCATTTTGATCGCAGAAGAGCAGAAAGGCTTCCTGTAAATTTCAATAATATATATATATATATAAATGCAGGCTCCTACCAAACAGTACAGAATAGTCCACCAACTGCATTCCGAAGGTACAGTCATGGCCAAAAATACTGGCACTGGCCCCCCTGCATTTCTGTCATATAATGACCACTTCACCCAGAAAACTGTTGCAATTACAAATGTTTAGGCATTCTCATGTTTATTTCTTGTTTTGTATTGGTATGCCACAAAAAAGTGCAGAAACAAAAAGCCAAATCTGACACATTCCACTCAAAACCTCAAAAATGGACTGGACAAAATTATTGGCACCTTCTCAAAAGTCTAAGAAATAATTTGCATTCCAAGACTGTGATATTCCTGTAATTTGTAATTAAACTCACCTGTATCAATTAACAGGTGCTGACAATGCACAAATCACACCTGCAACCAGTTAAAATGGTGACAAAATTGACTCAACCTTCCTGTTGTGTGTTGTGTGCCACATGGAGCATGGAGAAGAGAAAGAGCAGCAAAGAATTGTCTTAGAATTTGAGAACAAAAATTGTGGAAAAGCATGGACAATCTCAAGGTTACAAGGCCATCTCCAGAGATCCTAATGTTCCTGTGTCCACTGTGCACAACAATGTTAAGAAGTTTATAGCTCATGGCACTGTAGCTAATCTCCCTGGATGTGGACAAAAGAGAAAAGTTGATCAAAGGATTGTTTGAATGGTGGACAAAGAACCTCAATCAACTTTTAGACAAATCAAGCTGACCTTCAGGCACAGGAGACTACTGTGTCAGCTCGCACTATATGTCACCATTTGAATGAAAAGGGACACTATGGTAGGAAACCCAGGAGGACCCCACTGCGGACACAGAAACATAAAAGAGCCAGATTGGAGTTTGCCAAAACCTACCTGAGGTAGCCAAAATCCTTTTGGGAGAATGTGCGGTGGACAGATGAAACAAAAGTACAGCTTATTGGTAAAGCCCATCATTCTACTCTTTTCAGAAAAAGAAATCAGGCCTTTAAAGAAAAGAATACAGTCCCTAGAGTCAAACATGGTGGAGGTTTACTTATGTTTTGGGGTTGCTCTGCTGAATGCAGGCACTGGAGGTCTTGACCGTGTGCAAGGCATTATGTAATCTGAAGACTACCAAAGAATTCTGGGGTGCAATGTATAGCTCAGTGTTAGAAAGTTGGGTCTCCGTCAGAGGTTCTTACAGCAGGACAATGACCCAATGCACATGTCAAAAAGCACCCAGAAACTTTTCAAGATAAAGCGCTGGAGAGTACTGAACTGGCCAGCAATGAGTCCAGATCTCCATTCCATAGAGCACCTGATGGAGAGATCTCAAAACAGCAGTTGGGAAAAGGAACCCTTCCAATCTGAGAGACCTGGAGCAGTTGGCGAAAGAAGAGTGCTCCAAATTCCAGTAGAGAGGTGTAAGAAACTCATTGATGGTTACAGGAAGTAATTGATTTCAGTTATTTTTTCCAAGGAGTATGCTACCAAATATTAAATTAAGGATACCAATAATTTTGTCCAGTCCATTTTTGTGGTTTTGTCTGGAATGTGTCAGATTTGGCTTTTTGTTTCTCTACTTTTTTGTGTCATACCAATACAAACAAAAGAAGTAACTGTGAGAATGCGTAAATATTTGTAATTGGCAACACTTTGTGGGCGAAGTGTTGCATTATCTGCCAGAAATGCAGGGTTGCCAATATTTTTGTCCATGACCAAATATTAAAGTTGTTCCAGGCTGATTAAAGTTGTTCAGTTATCCGATTACAACAGATTTTACCAGTATCTTCAGCTGACACACGCTCTCTCTACTACTAAATTCACTATATTAACCCTCACTAAGACTACATCAGTTGAAAAAAATGCTCATGCAGAGGTCAAGAAGGGACTTGCATTGTATGTTTATGCCTCCCTTTAGGATAGTCTGATTGGCAAAATTGTACTGCCTTATAGGAGGGGATGGGAAACAGCTCTTTGGGAAATAACGGAGGAAATGTGGCAGTAATGGGACAAGTAGTTATACCTTTTCTATCACCTACCCCAGAGGTTGATGCAACTGTTCATAGTTCACGTACTCATCTAAAAATGTTTCAGTTGCATCATAGGGATAATTACAAATACCTGAGATATCTGGACAGACCAGATGACCTGCTACATATGGTCTGGAAGTGTCCCACGTTAATCTGTTATTGGAAAGCCATAGTTCATACCATAAATACACTATATATTTACTGGAAGATGAACTGTTTTCTCCAGCGATTTTGACCCCTGCTTCTAGATGGTTTTATTTGTAAACTCATAGCATTGACGTGGATTTCTCTACAACTCCCTACACTGGAAGAATGGTGCAACCAAGTAAATTTTTATTCTCCTGAGAGAAAAATTGATTTACCAACATAGGGGATGCACTCAGAAGTTTAATGATTGTCCACTCCTTGTTTAGCGCCATTGTCTCTTGTCACACAAACTATTTCAAAGGTGAACAAAAACTAACGTTAGAAGGAAAAAAACTACTATACTGCATAGGCATGCTGTTCTACGCAGAGATGTTTGTAGTTGGGTAGTGATGATCTGGGGGAGGATGTGGTGATTGAGGATTAATAGTGGAATGTATTGGATAGGATATAAATTCTTAGGAAGAATATTTAGAGACCCCCTATTCAGGAAATAAAATTATTATTATTTGTAATAAATTTAGGGTCTGTTCACACTCCATGAGCGTTTCCGGCACTGCACGTGGGTACATCTAATTGATGATGGCACTCCAAATACATCTTGCAAATACAGCAGCCATCAAACCACATGCGATTTACAAAAGTATTGCACTACTTTTTGCACATTCCAGAATGTGAGGGACCACATAGGAAGTAGTGTGAACCAGTCCTCAGAATGGACAGGTACAGCTTGGAATTGACAACTCAAGAAAATGTAAACACGGCATTATATCTGTCTTTGCTGTATCAGACAAACATGTTTGCTTTATGTTCTTATGTTCATACTATGGAAGCTATGGAAACTGTTTACGTGTGGATTGTTTGTTTTCTACATCAAAGTTATAACACAATAAAAATTATTTTGAAAAAAATAACTAGTACTGAATAGTGATTATGCCTTGCTGCTTCTTCTCTCATAGTAATGTAATCAGTCTGTTTGGACTGATTGAAAACAGATATATACAGTATATAATGTTCAGTATATGTTTATGTTACTTTTTTATCTCAGCAATCATTCAATCATTCAGCAAAAATAACTACCCTTCTCTGCCATACCAACTGCCACTGAAGAGATAATCTGCAAATATACATATATTAAACACATTATGATACTAAAGTAGAAGTTGGTAAAAATGTGGAAATCAAATTTTTTTACAATCCAAAACTGCTTTTGTTAAATTTTACATTGATTAAAAATATGTACTTCTTTTAAAGCACATTCGCATGGAAACAAACTACTGTCCGCGGACACCCGCCAGTCCATAGAAGTCTATGGATGGACCAATGGGGTCTGCCTGAGAAACAGACAGGCAGACCCCATCAGTCTGCTCGTGTGAAAAGGGCCTTAGGCATTTTTAATGATCCGCTAAAAAGCTAGCAAACACAAATATTTAAGGTATACTAACTAAAGGTTAAAAAAATCTGCAAAAAAAAAAAAAAAAACCACAAGGGATTGGGGGTTAATAAATATTGGGATTAAACGGAAGCTTAACATGGAGTTAGCATTAACTAAGAATAAAGCCAACAACTGTAGCAATCATTCGTAAACACCTATCCCTGCTCACTGCTTTTTAGAGTGACAGCACTGCCTCTGTTGCTAAAACCCTCTCAGTATGTGCTGCAGTGTCTGGGAGAGCGAATGTGTGAGACACAAATGAAGAAGGATCTGGCTTCATCAGGAAAATCACATACTTTTTTTGTTTACTTTCTGAAACTTGTGCATCTCATAGTTACTGGATATGGGACGTGTTTAGACTGTCATAAGGAACCCTTTATGTTTACTGTAGTTCTATGTTATAACATCTGCAATAATTTATTTTCCCAGATGTGCAATGTGAGAGCAACTCATCATCAAGAACATATCAATGCATAACAGATATGCTAACTGAACTGAAAAGAATCAATATTCTGGCAGTATCTTTTTATTCAAAATGATACAGCACTGTACGTACCTTGTTTGTAACATCAACACATGGGAAGCGATTTACTAAAGGCAAATATGGTGTTCATTTTGCAAGGGAATTTGCACTTTGCAAGGGAATTTTCCCTAATTTCACTTTGCAAACAATACCCAATAACATAAAAGTAAAATAAAAACAAACATCACTTTCCATTGCACATGATTGGATAATGGAAGTCAGCAGAGCTTCACCTCTAGTGACCATGCTAGTGAGAGCTTTTTTCTCCAATATGTGCAGAGATTATGTACAGTCAGGTCCATAAATATTAGGAAATCGATGCAAGTCTAACATTTTTGGCTCTATACACCACCACAATGGATTTGAAATGAAACTGCAGACTTTTGCCTTTAATGTGAGGGTATTTACATCCAAATCAGGTGAACGGTGTAGGAATTACAATAGTTTGCATATGTGCCTCCCACTTGTTAAGGGACCAAAAGTAATGGGACAATTGGCTTCTCAGCTGTTCCATGGCCAGGTGTGTGTTATTCCCTCATTATCCCAATTACAATGAGCAGATAAAAGGTCCAGAGTTCATTTCAAGTGTGCTATTTGCATTTGGAATCTGTTGCTGTCAACTCTCAAGATGAGATCCAAAGAGCTGTCACTATCAGTGAAGCAAGCCACCATTAGGCTGAAAAAACAAAACAAACCCATCAGAGAGATAACAAAAACATTAAGCGTGGCCAAAACAACTGTTTGGAACATTCTTAAAAAGAAGGAACGCACCAGTGAGCTCAGCTACACCAAAAGACCCGGAAGACCACGGAAAACAACTGTGGTGGATGACCGAAGAATTCTTCCCTGGTGAAGAAAACACCC